CTACACTGCATTGTCACTCCCTACAGAGAGGGCTCATAGTCAGAGAAAAATGCAACTCACAGCAGCAAGGACTTGCCCATTCCCTGCTTTTCCAGTGTGTCCTTCACCAGGAAGCATGCACAGAGAGGCCCTCTGTAAGTGGAGGAAAAGGAAACCATGTACAGCAGATTCCTGCACATCCCAAACTCACTTGTCCCCAGGGCAGGAGTCAGACATAGTGGAAAGCACCAAAACAGGCATCGTTGCTGTCTGGGTGAAGTTATTGCTAACAGATGGGCTCATATGTTTCAAAAGGCAGCACTGTGATCCATCAAGGCTGTTTTGAAAGGCATTGATGAGTGGAAAATGGCAATTTGGGTGAGTCCTGCTAATAGGACAGTGAGCAAGGGTCTGCTGTCATGGCTCACAACTTTCACACGGGACATTATTTCCAAAGCACTCCAGTCTGGGTGGGTTGGAGACTGCTTTGCTTAGCTGAGGTCCACAGAGGTCCCTCTGCAGCCATGGCTCAACTCAACACCAGTCTAGACTTGCATGATGGCTGCTTTGGGAAATGCTTTCCACGGAGCTTTCCCATTAGGGCAACACAAAACACCCTGAGCACGCTCTAAAACCCAGCTGTTTTCCGGTGACTGGAATCAGTACAACATAGATAGGAGAATTCAGTTTTCTGTTTCACTAATCTAAGTTTCTAGTTTTGCAGATGAAAACTAAAGAACATGATGCAAGTATGACCCTAAGATCTTCCTCCCTTTTATTGGGTTTGGGGGTTTTGTTGCTTTTTTTGTTTCTTCGTTTTGTTTTGATGTACCTGGCTTGGACATCAGTATAGTTGGAAATATTTTTTCCTGATGGAGGAGTATGCACATGCATTCTGACTAATCCAGTGAGCTGAACTGCTGAAAACTGAACATGATATTTGCAAATCAGAACACTTTCCCACAGATAGATTTATGTAAAAATGACAACTGGTTTTCATTATTTTTTGCAGCAAGATCATCCAAGGCCAATAATTTTTACTTTTCTTCAAGTATTTGAGTAAAACATTCTTTAAAGAAAAAGAAACAAATTGTTGAGACAGATTGTTCAGATAATTTCTGTATGAAACTATTTTATGCTTTCTAAGCAAGACGTGCATTTCTGCAAATCTAGACAGTTTTCTTTAAGAAGAGAACCCTTCCAAGTGAAATTAGCCCTGTTTTTAACAACCCCCCCTCTTCCTACACAATCAAAATGACAGGTCTTCCCCCTCCTCCCTCTTCCACTGCCTCCTACACAGGAAAGGAACATTTTCTAATGAAATCCCCAGCACTTCCACTTGGCTTCTCTTCCCAAGCATTTCAAAGGGCTCTGCTTGGGAGATTGTGAGTGTTTTCTGATTATAGTTGGAATAAATACAGTGCAACACTTCTATTTCCAGAAACTAGCAGGGAAGCGATACAGCAAAGCAGCACAAAAAGTTCCGTTTGACTGCAAAGCCCAGATGGAAGAGTTGGAGAACAATTTGGGGAGAGGTTTTTGTCGATGGCCTCAGCATCTGCTGCTCTATTTGTAGATCCTGCGAGATCAAAGCACGTCTCAGAATATATAATGCTAACACTGTAGTCATGGCCCGAGAATATAAACAAGGCAAGGTTTATGGGAAGGTGGTTTTCACAGGATACAGTAGGAAAAAATACATATAGGAGTTCTTTATAGGGAATCAGTGCTCCCTCAAGGTTTCTCAGCAGTTTGTTTCGCTAGCTTAAAATGGGGATATGGGATGGGCTGCAACTTCCACAGGTATGGTCAGGGACAGGAAGGAAAACAGGAATTGTTGTAGGGTTTTGTGATTGCCAGGGTGATGGGTAATGAGAAGCCCTTAGAAGAGGAATGCTCTGACCGCTGCTCCTCTGAAATTTGCTTTTCAATGCAAGTTGACCAAGAAATTAATATAAAACTTGCTGAAAACATTGGATTAAAATGGGAAGAAGACTCAAGTTCTTCATTGTCTTTGGGAGCCTTAAATTTGTTTTCCCACCCTGGTCAATGCCAGGATGTTGGCTAATCTATAGTAGATCTAAATTCACTACCTAACTAATATTTAAGAAATAGCACAAGAGTAACTTGGCCAGGGAAAGGGAACAGGAGACAGACTTTGCTGCTTGGTGATTTGAGGCATTCATTTGCAATTTGGAAGAGTCAGGTTCACATCTCTATGCTCTATCAGAAGAAATATCAGTACAGCTGAAATTTGTATGTGCGTTTCCCATGCAGCCTCCCTCATTTCCAGTATATTGGAAATCTCACTCTGGAGCTGTGAAGCCATCCTAGCAAAAGACTTCTTGGCAGTGCTTCATTCCTGAAAGCACACAAGCTTTGGCACACTAGCTTTTCCTGTTGGAAAAATAAATTCATAAAGCAATCCCCCCAAAAACATTTCAATTAAAACATCCTTACCAGTTCTAACCCACTAATGTGAATGGTTTTCTGCCTTGAAAATGTTACACCCCACTGCTTTCCATCGGTCAGATCTTTAGGATGTCTTCAATTCACGTCTGTGTACAGTCTGAGTGTTAATCACTTTTAGTTTTCATTAATGACTATAAAAATTGTCACTGTGGACAAAGTACAACTGGAAAAGTTGTTTCAATTTCTGTGCAGTCAGCCAAGAAAAATACCTCAGTTACGCCTGAAGACCTGCGTGCACAGCGTATACCACATCCTATGCATACCACATATGACATCCTATGCATACCATATCCTATACAGAAAATACTCCCCCCTCCTCTAATGAAAAGCAAATCAGGCTAAAGGGACCAGGAGGCTTCTTTCTTGCCCATCCTTTGGATGCAGCTGTCCAGAAACAGCTCCCTGCAGCACTGAACCAGACATCACTGTCCTCGACAATCTGTGCACACAACTGTTAAACCACAGCCTTGCCAGTCCTGCTTGTATTTCCCATGCCAGTTTATTGGGCCATAAAATAGAAAAGGGGTTCTCTGCATTCATGGGAAATATTAGGAGTCAGTCAGTGCCCCTCCTGGCTATATTCAGGGCACAAACCCTGATGTGAAGTTAATAAAATTTAGTCATTTGGCAAATAAATGGGGGTTTTTGGTACTAGTTGCTCACATTGCAAATGTCCAGTGCAGCTCTATGGGGTCTCTGTCATATACCCCCATTCTGCTTACACCACCACCCCAAGGAAAATGGCATTTTCTGCACAGCACATAGATATTACTTCTCATTAAATTCCCTGGGATCTCTATCAGGTAGTCTCAGAGAATTTGGGTAAGAAAAAGCATAGGAAAGAGCAGTTTATTTATTTGTTGCTGCTGTTTATTCCTGCCCGCTTTTGGAAAAAGGTGAACCTCAGAGGGTCGAGCTCTCCCCACACTCTATGTCAGCAATAAATTGCCACTGCCAGCTTGGAGGTGGCTGTGGAACTGAGATATTCTTGTAGGTAGGATGTCCTAGGGCTATAGGAGTAGTCTTTGAGAGGAACAACATTTCTTCCCTGCCTGATTTTGCAGTCATTGAATCAAAGGTGGATTCCTGGAGGTCTCCAGTCCAACCTCTTGTTTGAAACAGGGCTGACACCAAAGCTGGGGCAGTTTGCCCAGGGCTTTGTGCAGTTGAAGTTCACAGATTCCCCAACATTAGAACTCCACAACCTCCCTGTTCAAAACCACATCACATTGTAAGATTTTTCTTCCTTTCATGTGGAATTTCCTTTATTTTAACAATTGCCTCTCATCTTGCAGTAACGGCCCTCGAAGAGCCAGTATACAGGGACAAACCCTGTTATTCTCTGAATACTCCAGTATTTTTTAAGGTGATGTAAAGGAGAACAGGTTATTCCTGAGATAGGCACTCAGATGAACAGAGGGGAAAACCATGGAATGATTGATGCTCCTGTGTTTGAGATTATCCAGGTGCTCCAGCTTGGTTCAAGACTCCTAAATTTTACCCTTTCTGAGGGTTTTTAAGTACAAAGGAGACAAACATTGATCCTACAATGAAGGGAAATACTGAAGAGACGTTAAAAAGTTACCATCTTATATCATTCCTTTAGCCCCTCTGCTAAATAAGCTTTCACGAAGGAAGAAGTTATTTTGTTAAAGTAAAGTCTTTGATTATTGAGTTCACATCTGCTGGTGCTAAAACATCCCTGGAACAGAGATCTGCTGCCAGCAGAAAGGATGACTGTTTGCTGTCAACAAACAGGAGGCAGACAGTGCATGGAAAGTTGTTTTCTCTTGGTTTTCCTTTTCTTTCAAATCCTTTGTGTCTGTAGCCTTGCAGGATTTTTGTTTCTTTGTTATTATGTTTAGGGTTTTTTTGATCTGGGTTCTGCTTGGAAAATTCAGCTGGGCTCTCCCAGCAATTAGCCTGCAGAAGCAACGGCTAGTTGCCCAAATAATTAGCGAGCCTGCCGAGAGATCTGGAGCACGAGACCATGCAGAAAGAGGCACAAAACCACAGCTGTCCTGAAGCTGAGGAAACCCCGTGCTGAAGAGATAAAGGCTCTCTGGGACAAATTTCTGATTGTTGGTTCTGGCAGGAAAACCAGGGAAAAGGCAGCTTGAGGTTTACTGGGACTGCGATTGTCTCTTTTATGGCTGTTCCTACAAAGGCTGAGTCCATCTTCTTTGTTAAACTCTTTTTTGTTTTGTGTTCATGGTAATCTTTGGCTCTTTGTGTACCAGATCACAGCCTTGTCTCTACACTCCTGCTTCTGAGAGCTGGGTTTGGCTTTCTGCCTTGAAGCTTAGGCTCTCCCATGACCCTCTTGAGATGCAGAGCTGTGAGCAGCCTCTTCTGCACTGAAGCCCTTTCTCCATTGCCCTCTCTGTTCTCATTTGGGGTTTGCTGGATTTGGGTTTTATATTTTTTTTGCTGTTTCCAAAGATTTCTTCCTCTTCTGAGTTTCAATTCTCGTTACTTGATGGTAAACACATCTTGCATTTTGTGGTTTTGTCAGTTTATAAGAAAAAGCTATTTTCTTGTTTTGTGCCATCAACACTCTTTTTTTCCCTGTTGTAGATTAAGTGTTTGTTGGATACTTTTGATCAATCCCTTAGGTCTTGCGTGTCTGACGCCTCCATGTGCAGCATGGAGCTCATGTAGTGCTGCTCCCTCTCTTAAGCTAAGCTATTTTTGCTTCTTTGAGGGATGCAGCCTCGTCAAAAGGTTTTTCCCTTTGAACCCCACAGAGGAAAAGGCTTCTCATGCTCAGGAAAAGAAGTGCTGGTCAAAGCTTCTTTTCAGACCCAGGGCTCCTCATCAGCAAATCTCATGTCTAGAGAAGACTCCAGTGTGTTTCTATTTCTTGAGAAGGTACTAAGAGAAGTTCGAATACCTTTCATATTGCTGCATTTAAATGCAATGAAGGGCACGCTCTACTAGCGGAGCCCCTCGAGGAGCGTTGCTGTTGGTGCCACCTGCCCTCACTGCTGGATGTGGCTCAGCCCAGCAGCCAGGCAGGTCCTCAACAACCCTGGAAAGAGCCTCTCATGATCATCTTTGGTCCTTTCTGTGGCATTTGTCCATACCCACATTCCTTAGCAGGGCCTGGACGCAGCACTGGACAGTTTGAATCTACTGCTGTGTCTAATGGGCACTCACCTCCTGTCAGACATGCTCATGGCTCTCCTCTGACTTGGGTTGTCCAAACACTGAAATACTCCCCATCCACTAAAAAATTCTTGTGGTACCAAAGCTATAGGCAAGCACTCAAAGCTGGGGAGATGGAGGCATGTTTTAATTAGGAAAAAATACAGAGCATTGAAGGATCTCAGGGCAGCTGGACTGTATGTATCCAACAGGATAAAACACAACTTTTGGATTTCTTTACGAAAGCAAGTGAAAGAGGTAATGGAAAAAATAGAGTTAGGCATTAGGTTTATTTAATAGCCATGGAATAAATTGGGCAGTTGGCAGGGAAGAAAGCAAACTAGTAATCAAAGACTTCTGATGTTTGAGAAACGTACCTATGGAAAGGATCAGTTACTTTAGGAAAACTCAGAAAATTAAAAGTTTGGCTCTTTTCTAATAAAATTAAACTCTTTATTCAAGCATTTGGGAATTGGAGAACCCAAACAGATTGTTGCTACTTCAAACTTGGGTAAAGCAATAAGAAAGAAATCGTAGAGAGTTGGAGAAATCATTATGAAATATGTACATTATGCAGAGGCAGAAAAAGTTGCATTAGTGAGTTGCTGCCTTAATCGTAGAGAGTTGGAGAAATCATTATGAAAGATGTACGTTATGCAGAGGCAGAAAAAGTTGCATGAGTTGCTGCCGCCTTATTATTAATATTTTTTGAGAAGCAAACCAATATTACAAAAAAAATCTCACGCTCTCTAAACTGCTATGAAGACCAAATGTGTATATGGTACAGTGCAAGATAGGCTTTGGAAGGCAGCATCAGGGCAGACTGCAACACCAAGAGGGGAAGTGTCTGGTAGAAAGCCACATGTAGGTAAGGGATCACCTTTTTGCATCCAAAACAGCTGACAAAGATTGCCTTCAGCCCTGTAGGTAGAGCTGTCTGGTGATGTTCTCCTCACACATTTATTTTGAATGTGTATGTTGCATCTTACAGCTACAGAGTGGAGGTGGGATATTTCACCCGGAAACTCTGTGGTCCACACCAGCTGTGGGTGGTTAGAAGTCATACTTCTTGTCTGCTGGAGAATCCTGTAGATCTTTCACCAGATTTCACTGCTTTATCTGTATTTCAGTCTCAAAATAATTTCCAGCTCACACTTATTAATAATTAGCACTCTGTCTTCTTTTCTACTTCATTTTACCTTAATATTGTAGTCTAGGATATTTAAAATTTCAGTCCAGACGATGAAGGCTTTCGGCTCCCATGTGCCTGAGCTGACAGCCTGCTCAACCCTGTGGCTAAAGAAACAGAAGCTTCAGAGACAGATGAAGAAGTGGGTGTTGAAAGGGAAAAGAGGGCTACCTTCCAGCTGTACTGCATTCATTTCCCCATATACACAATTCTTTCTGCCAATAATTTATTTCAGCTCTTCCTCATAGGTATGATTGAACTGGGATATTAGGCTCCAGCTTTTAGTAATGTGGGAATTACTTTTTTTCCTTTCAGCTGATGTTGTCACCAGTTTCCTGTTGATCATCATGCTGTTCATCATCAGCTTCAACCTCCTCCTTGGTGTGGTGAAGGTACGTTCTCCACAAATGACATTTAGCTGCTGGCTGAGGCCTCTCTGAGTTAGAAAGGTATTACTAAGGATGCTCACTGAAAATGCTGAAGTATGTTTTAAAAAGCAGATAAATATCTCCGCTCTTCTACAGAGGGGGAAGGCGGCTCGTTTGCAATCTCAGGCTCGTCTGTGAGACTGCTAACTGCCAGATTTACCAAATCTGGGTGACATTTCCATCAAGATTATTTTTGTGTTAAGGGATGGAAATGTTATGATTTAGAAATGTTGTCTTATTGCCCAATCTCTTTGCTCATTTGCAAGTCAGATCCTGGAGGGGAACTGTAACTCCCCTATTGCCCTGGGGATGCATTTCCCATTTCAGGAGAAGAAATGGCCATGCATTGGTGTGGGAACACAGCTTTCTCTGTAGTGGTAAGCTTTGAGGACAGCCGAATTACAGCTCTGATGGGATCAAGTGCCCATCTCACAGAGCAGAAAATCACAGAAACTTTCCAAGTGGGTGAAAAAAACCTCAATGTTGATGCCCTTTATTGTTTCTGAATCAATTGACACCACAGCATGGGGAATTAGATGCAGAAATTCCAGGAAAGAGTTTATTCTTGGAATATCTAAATATATTTACTTTCAGGTATTGATAGCTGGTCTCATTCTCCCATTTAGAACAGAAATAACTGGCATTGCTTTTCTTTTTCAGAAGAGGGAACGTCTCCTGATCCCGTTCCTTGCCCTACAAGTCATGGACTTTATCCTGAGCCTCCTGACAATGTTCAGTTCCTACATACAAGTCCCAGTGATTGTTTCTGTGTCCTCTCTCAGCCACATGGTAGGTAACCGCTCACTTCTTCATGGTGAGGTGGTTTCTATACTGGCTGGAGACAAGATGCAATCCTTGGAGGCCAGAGGGTGTGCAAGGAAAACTGGTGACAGCTGGGATGTTGTTTGGTTTCCCATGTCTGGAAATCTTCCTGTTGATTTTATTTGTTGTCTCATAGCTTTGGGGAGGTTGTTCTGGCTGTGCCTGTGCTAGGAAGGGTTTGTTGGAGATAAGCTGGGAATATCACTGTTCCAGCCTCTTCTGTGGAGCTTGTATGAATTGGCCCAATAAGATGGTTTGCTCATCATTTTGGCTACTGTAAGTGGATTAAATAGCTTAGGCTGTCAGCATGAACAAAGCATAGGCCTTGTGTAAAATGTGGAAAACCTATAGAAGTGATGCAATCTTGTAATTATAAACAAATTTCAGTTCCCTGCTCTTCTCTCAGCAGGGACACTCGAAGATCCCTTTCCTGGCTCTGCAGGTGCTGGATTTCTGCCTGAGTATCCTCACTCTCTGCAGCTCTTACATGGAGGTCCCCACCTATCTCAGCCTCAAGTCTCCAGACAACGGGGTAGGTTATGAGCAAGCTCAGCTGATTTTACATCTGTGACACCCTGTGAAGTTTCTTTCAGTGGCTGTTAAGACAGAGTAAACTTTCTCTGATCTCTATGGTACACCCAGAACTGCTCTGTTTGATGACAAAAGAGGATTTTCCATATGTTCTCACCAACACGGTGTTCTTGACTGACAGCTTGCTTATACATGTGTTTCTTAAAAGTACACCTTGTTTTTCTTGTAAGAATCTCATGGATGCAAATTGCAAAGCAAAATGATTTGGATAGAGTCTGCTTGCATGCATTGAAAATGCATGAACTTTCATCTTTATTTAACAGTCATGCTTTTAGTTCTCATTTAAATAGTCTTCTGAAAAAGCCTCTCCCTCTGTTCACAGGGCTTTTTGCCGACCTTGGAGAAGTTACCAACAGAGGAATACGCCAAAGTGATGGTCACCTTCACCATTGCATTCATTGCTGTCCTCTTCGTGAAGGTAAATGGCTGCAGGGCCTGGTGAGACTGAAACGAAGCTTTTTTGCCTGGAGGGTAGGAGGAATTGGGTTTACTTCTCTCTCAAAACCTCCAAGGCATTGGAAAGCCTTGTTGATCTCTCCTTGGGTATAGCAGGAGCTATGCATAGTGTCTGAGGCAGGTCTAATATTCAAATACCTGGTTTTTTGCTTCAGCAGATGTGAGTTATAAAGCAAAATCTCTCTCATATCCAGAAACTTTTACTTCCCATTCATCTCTAGAAGGAGAAGATCTTTGAAAACAAACACAGGAAACTTTTCTGCTCTTGTGTGCCAAAATAAATTAGATCATTACACAGCAGGTTAGAACTTCCACTTGGGTAAGTCGCTGTATCCACACTGATGTAAGCAAAGTTATGCACCCTGATACCCTGAAGTTTAATTAAAACCCGTGAGCTGCTAAATCCTGCTTGCATCTCAGAAAACTCTACTGTGAGATGGTTTCTATTCTTCTTGCTTCAATGGATCAGAGAACAGGTTTTTCACTGAGAGGTTTCAGACCAGCTAAGAAAACCAGATCTTTCCAGGTACTTGAGCAGATTCTGTTACAGTGAAAAATGCTCCTTGTTAGTTGGAGAGCATTTTTTATTCAGATTCTTCCCAGGTGGCCAGACAAACCAGTGTGGAGTGGAGAGTCTTGTGTGATTGCACTGCAGACCTGACTTGGGCTTATCTCTTAATATTTGCATAAATGGCACAATTGGAGTGAAGATAGCCCTGAAACCCAGCTGGCAGTGTGGGTCTTTAGCAGAAACCTCATTGACCTGGTAAATGGGTTGATTTGAATTTTCAGCAGGGTTTGCTACAAGACTGCTTAACTTGCAATGACTTCTTGTGCTGGAGTTTGTAGGAGGAGACATGAGGGGAGAATAATTAAAAAAAAAAGGACAGGCACAGGTACTCCTTGGTCTATTAAAGTCCCCAAACCAAGTCATTAGGAACCACATCCTTTAAACTAAGTGACAATCTCTCTCCTTTTCCATGTGTAGCAAAACCGTTTTCATGAGGGTTCTTTTCAAGTGATAAAGATCTGATGAGGAACGTGGCAACACTATTAAAAATTTTAGACCTAAAAAGGCCATTTGGCCAATTTAGGGCCCATTGGTTTCAATTCACTGAACACCCACACCAAGGTAGCATCTAAATATGTTGGACTAGCCCAGGATCTTTTCGCATAAATTGTCTTGCTTAATGACCCATTACAAGCATTTATTGCTTACACTAAAATGTTGTTTCTGTGTATTCGGTGCTGTTTGCCTGCCAGCTTCCCATTACTGACCCTAAATAGTTATCTGCATGCCACACCGCAGCATAATTCATCTAAAAGGTGGTCTGGCAGATGGAGAAGAGATGGGGCATCTGCCTTACTGAATGCCCCAAAGGTGATAGCATTGGTTGTTTAAGTCCAAGTTCCTTGGAGATGCAAAGTATTCAAAGGGCAGAGTGAGTGAAGGGGTGATGCTTGCCTAGCCCACCAGGGCAGTCTCCTTTGCTGTGTACCCACAAGTAATCTTTACCTCACTTCAGCATCATAAAGTCACCCCCTCTGCCACCAGAGTGATAAGAATGCAGAAACCAAGGGGAATAAAACATTTCAGATGGGAAATAAAAGAAAAGAAAGGGTTTAACATAATTATTTCTGAAGTAGCTCGCTTCCTGACATCTAGAACAAGCTTCCCATCCACTTGTAACGTCAACGGCTGCCAGGGAAGTTTTCCTTCTTCAATTCAGTGTGGAGAAGGATATCCTACAGTGCCTCTTGAGTGTTTTGATTTGGCCAATGACAGGATGGTCCCAAGGTCACTGCCTTTACATAAGCTGTGTATATTTATGTGTTCTGCTCGAACCTGCTATTGCTTGCAGCAGTCTTCACTGAAGTCAGCTTCATTGAATTCAGTGCAGATACTGGGATGACACTGCAGCAAACTTCCAGAATCAAAATCAAAGAAAGAATCTTTTTGTTGTATGATTTTTTAAATTTTATTTTATCTTATTCTTGTTTCTTCTGTGGATGAGTGGGGTTTTTTGTAGTTTATACGATGGCTTCAGTGTCTTGCATATTTGCTCTCTGTATGAAGAGGCTTGTGGGAAAAGGAAGGTTTTAGCAGTATTCCCTAAAGGTGGTCAAAGTCTGGATTTACATCCTCATCTCTGGAAGTTTGGTTGAGAGATGGGTTCCTTCAACTCAGATACTTCGTTCCTTGTTCTCATTCTTTGTCTTGGCTTTGTGTCAAGACAAACAGTCTTCATTGTTTGAGGAAATCCTAAGCTAGATGGCTTGTTCTCGGGGCATATAACTCCCTATGTTCCTTTGAAAATGCCAACTGTTTTTAAAGTAGAGTCTTGCGCCAGTATAAATAAGAGGCACACGACTTTGCCTCGCTGTACAGAGCAGGGAAAATATTTATTTAATATGGTAGGTTTCACAGGCCTCGCTTATTTTCTTGTGCCACAATCCATCAATCGATCCATTTTTCTCAGAAAAGCTCTATTTATTGCGACTTGTAACTCCGTGAGGTGCAAGGTAGTCCTGTCAGAGCAGTGTAACGACTGCAAACATAGGGTTTTGTTGAACGAGCCGACCTCTCAGGTCAGTCCTACTTGACCAGGGAGCCTTGGATCTCTGGGCAGTGGATATTGTGCCCAAGGTGCACTTCTGAGACAGCCAAACTTTTGTAGCCTGCTCAGAAAAATAACAAGAAAGACACACTTTCCTTTCCTACCTGATAACATTGTGCTCTCAGAGGTCTTAAGCATGGGCTTTGTATTTAATGGTATTACGAATCCTTTTGACTTCCCACGCCAGTATGCTGTTCTGAATAGACAGAATTGTCACTTTTCTAGTGAAGGATCAAGAGAGACTGATTTAAGGCCACATGGTCCCAGGCTTCTACCTCCTGAAAAGAGAGCAGGACAATAGCAAACAGATAGTGAAAGTGGAAATGCTCTTGTTGACTTGCAATGCAATGGCAGACTTTATTTCCCTTTCCTTTTCAGGCCTATATGTTCAAATGTGTCCTGAGCTGCTTTAAGTATATTAAAGCCAGCAAGAGAAAGGAGGCAGAAGTTGACCCACAAGCAGTTGAAAAGGTGAGTAAAGACTGCTTCAGATTTACACCGTGAAAAGGCATGGTTTAGACTAATGAGATGTATGATGATCTTTACTTTTGCTTTTTTGGTGGTCTGAGAGATAATTCAACCCTTCAAATGTGCATTAACAGGTACCAATATTCAGTTTCCAATCATATTATACTCCTTTAACTTCACTTTTATATAAAATCTTTCAGAGTCACTGGTATCTGCAAGGGACCTGAAACTCAGGCTTCAGGCAAAGCGCATAAATGTGACTATATCGCTTGTATTCTATGATCCAGAGATGTGGTTTTTACTTCACTTGAACTCTAGTTTCTGTGCCTAGTAGCACTACCTTTGTTTAAAATTAAGTTGGTCTTCAACTTTTACCAAATCAGTGTCTGAAAGATTTGGTGCGTCACCCTTCATTTTAACAGTTTGGTGAAAGATGAGTATCAGTGTCCTATCTTAGATCGCTGGCGTTCTCTTTAACAGTAGCATCCAGCTGATCTGACACAATGGAACGATATTGAAGACCTTCCAAAAATAAGAGACACTCACTATAAAGTCAGATGAGAAGTAAAGAGGAAGAATATGGAATGCAAAGTGTAGGCATTTTCCTTGTTGAAACTTTGCAAATATAATGAGCCTTATCTTGCCAGCAGTGCATGCCCACTGCTGATCTGCGCTCAGCTTCTTTCATTAGGTAATGAGGTGCTAATTCTGGACATTCAACAGCCTTGGTCTGTTTGCAACTATGCTTTGGGAGAAGGAGGTGGAACTGGCAGCAAAGTGGTTTTAAAGTGCTGCTGACCTCTACCTCTTCTGGATTTCTGCCCTTTATCTCCTACAGCCCATGTGGTTCTTTTACTCTGTTTTGAACAAGGTAGAGAAACACAAGATCAAATCCACTTGAAACCCTTCCTGTGATCCCAGCGGATAACTAATTGTCTTCTCTTTCAGGCTGTGCTGCCATCGTATGAGGAAGCCTTAGAGTTGCCTTCCAAGGAATCCCCACCGCCGTACATAGCAATCTAAGCTCCTCTTATGGAGAGAAGAAGACAACTGCATGGCTGTTGATGCCTCTTACCCCTTCTGCCAGATAGTCAGCCTCACTAAGAAGTCCCTACTTTATAGCAGTGTCGTGCTTATTACAGTACAGCTCACTTTAGGAGCCTACAAGGAGTGATGGTGAACCACTGGAGTTGGTGCCGCCTTCTGCACTGTCAGGTTTGACTTGGTACTGCCAAGCCACAGTGCTCATTTTAACAAATTTGGCACCAGGCACCACAGTGTTTCCCATCACTGGCCTCTGACATCTGGCTAATGAGAAGAGTAGGCGCTGGCCTGAATCCCTTGTCAGGCTTGCTTTATGCCAGCAAGATGCTGTTTCTCATCTGTCTCGCACCTAACGCAGCAGCTGAGACATTTAGGAAGTGGAATTGGGGGAAAATGGGCAAGAACCTTTTCACTGAGATAGCCTAAGCCTGAAGCTATGCTAACCAGCACCTTTTAATGAGGACCCTACCTACAGGAAAGGAACCAGCAAAGAAATGAAGATTTCAAATAAACTACGGTGCAGCTCTCATCCTGTCTGCTTGTGATGATGATTAATAGTGTGTACTTCAGAATATTCAACATGCTGGAATTGCCACACTGTTGCTCTGCCATTTCATACCCGAGTGTGTTCATTTTTTTTTTTGCTTCTAGTGTGACTTGAAAGATAAATTTCAATTAAAAAAATGTTAATGGATTCAATACTTTGCTGTCTGATTTCTGAATGGCGCTGTCCTTGCTGTCTGAAGTATACTGCAAGGATGCAACAGCCTGCTTTCTAAAGAAAAGTCATTAGCAAAAATGGTGCTTTAGCCTTAGGTTGATGTTATCTCATGTGTGTGCTGTTCACAAAGGAAAATATGGTATTTCTAACAGGCAACCTGGCAATTTCATCTAAAAATCTGACTTGTTCTTTCTCTTGTACACTATCACCAGTGATGAAGATCCTGCTTTCTGAGGCTCATTCACGTCTGACTGTGCAGATCAGTCTCTGTAGATGTTGGTGAATAGTGCTCCTGGTGACAGATGAGAGGTGTCTGGAATTCAGTGTCTGCTCACCTTTTTGGATCGTTGCCTGCTTTTTAAAAACGCTCAGTATGTAAGTGTAGTTTGCTCAGTAATAACTTATTCCAGCGTCATTCACAGTGTGGACCACAGCCTGGGGTCTTTGTTCTGCTCTGAAACAAAACAGAACAAAACAAGCTTTAATGGAAGATTTGCCAAAGTATAAACAAGAAATGTCAGCGCAGCCCCATGCTCTTTTCACTGGATGTGTTTACTGGATGTACATGGGCATGAAGATAACGATGTTGATCATATACTTTAGAGCTGATTTTCTCATCACTGAAGAGGGATGATAATTCCCTTTCTCTGTGTTTCATCTCCCTTGTTCTGGGGACCAGGATACTCAGCAACAGACATGAAATCTGGCAGAGTGCACCGCAGTGACATCTTAATATCTGCTGTGCTTTTAAACATTATTAAAATCACTCACACAAGTAGAAACCTCTCACATTCTTCAAGCAGGAAAAATTTTTCCTGACCCTATATCTAGCAATTTTTTAATTGTGACCAAAGAGCAAGAGACCAACCCAAAATTCAACCAGAAAACATAGCAGAGGCATACGAGGAGCCCAACTTTTTTCATTAAGGTCCAGCCCAACCTCTTGCTTAATTAGGTGGAAAGATAAAACATTATCTGTGAATAATCAATAGGCTACAGTACATTCTAGACATCACCTATCAGCCCTCTTGGTCACAGTCCTGAAAACCAGGCTGGATGCTGAAGCTGTGTCTCATTTCTCTCCAGCTATCTGCCCACCTTGGCTGCAGTGCTCAAAACCAGGTTTGGAGGAGGCCATGGGGGAAGGGGGGGCTGCCCAGGTGAAGCTTCTCTCCTTGTTAGTTTAGAGGTGTTTGAAAGCACAATTCTCCCCCTAATATTCCTTATCAGAGTCTGCAGGTGCTGAGGTGGTGTGTGACAATCATCACAGCACTGGGACATCTTCACTAATCCTGCTGGCCAGGATTGACCAAAAACCCCTTAACTAGGTCTGCACAAAATATCATTAGGAGAAATGCTGGCAATTCATTTGGCTTCACAACCAGAAGAGATCCAAATGTGTTGTGTTAAAAATCCTTTTCTATCTCTTTAAATGGTTCACATTCTACTTCTAATTAAATTCCCATTAATAACGCCCTTGGCTATTTAGTTACAGCAGCAGGGTTAAACGTTCCCTAAGCCTCCCAGTTTAATTGACTTTGATAATACAGCTAAAGCCACTAAAGTAGGTCCAACACATCTCTTGCAGAGATGGGGTTTGTTTCAATGTGTATGAGGAGTCCAGCCTTTGGGTACACACCTGATCTAAATGAAGCTGTTTTGTGGCTCTTAGCAAGCCAGACAATCCTGCTTCATGCGGTATTTTTTCTCCGGGGCTCAGAATAGTGAAAGCCTGACTCAGAAAACCCCTGAAATCTGATAAAATGTATAGATTTATTGTGAGTTTCCAGCCAGGTCAGGGGCTGAGTTCTAGACGGGAAGTGGTTTTGGTTTTCTGAAATGTTAGATGATTTGGCCAAGACAAACTGAACACAAGCTGTCCCCAGCCTGTTAATGAGTCAGATGATGGTGCTATCAATGCTGGTTTTGAGAGTGATAAAAGGCTCTTTTTAATATGCTACTGTTATACTGTTTTTTCTTCTGTAAACTGATTTACTGATGTGAGTCTCTCCAGTGCAGGCTGAGAACCAATTTACACAAATATGCTTAGTGCTGCTCCACACATTGCTTTTTTTTCCCAATGCAGAGAAGAAACAAGCAGCAGTTATTTGATGCAGGGAGCAGACTGAGCTGATGATCTCAGCACTGGCAGGACAGGTATGTATGAGGTACATGACCACCTTTAGAAGCATCTCATGGAGGTGGAGATGCTCCAGGGATGTCCATTAGATTGCCTGACTGACTGTGGCATTTTCCCTCATCAGACCTGGAGCAAGAGCTCCATGGAAAAAGGTTTTTTTGCGCTGAGTTTCTGTGTGTTGCTTTGAGCCCTTCTGCTTTGTTTAATTTCTTGTTCTTCCCCAGGATTTCTAATGCCACTGCCTTCAGTTGGCGCGGACAGGAGACATAGCTCTGTCTTTGCTCTGAAAAGAGAAACCACCAAACACACTTCACTGGTCTCCCTATTCCACAGAAAGGGAAACTGAGGTATGAAGGAAAAGGAAATAACTCATGAATCCAGTAAGACAACACTGCAGACCCCAGTTGTGTGCTGGAATTTCTCCCATGCACCATTCTTAGCCTTTTAGTCAAATATTTGATAAACCTGTCCATTGATAGGAAATGTTTTCTGGTGAAGGTAACCAGCACAGGTAGCTCCGGCAATCCAGGCCACACCTTCTTGTAAGAGACTCTTTGACATGGAAACTCAGTAAAACTTCAGATTCTACAAATCCTCCTGGATGTTAAACAGCACCGAATCTGGCAGAAAATACAGTGTCAATAAAGTCTGGGGAGGATCGGAAGCATTTTTACAGTGCTGGATTCTATCAAACTTTGAAATGGCATCTGGAAATATGATGGAGTTGATAGCGACTTGGCAAAAAGAATACATAATGCAACAGAAAAAAACAGCACTCAAACCCAGGCAGATCGAGTCATAGCATCCACTATGATGGAAAGGTCTCTTCTATCCCAGGGGTATCCTGATGTCCGTGAGTGGGTATAAATAGACCATGAAGAGGGCAATGACAGCATCTTGGCAGCATTCCCTGGCATCTCCTGGCGCTGACGTAAGCCAATGTGCTGAGTGGCAATGGAGCAGCAGAGGGAATCCCGGGTGATGGATGCGTGGTGTTTCTCCAGGATTCTGTCATTGCAGACCGTCCTGCACCACAGGGACCGTGCTGCCCTTCCTTGGTTCCTGCAGATTTGAATGACACCTGTAAGTCTTCCAGGATTCAGACCCTGGGACAGGCACCATTATAATTGCATAAATCAAACACCATTAAAAAAAAAGAAAAGAGTTTTACTTTAGCTTTCCTGCAGACAGTTCATTAAGGTAATTACTCACCTGTATCAGTTGGATGGAGTCACTGCAACTGCTGTCCCTGGCGGTGGGCCCAGAGTGACAGACATTGGCAGTTTGGTCATGCGTTAGCCCAAACTCTTGCTGCTGTTTGATTTCCATCTGCACACTGAGCCCCCAGGCCAGACACTCCTCACCTCTGCTGGGGATCTCTCTCATCCATGTGTCTGCCCACAAGATTTTCATCCCATTTCTGCTAGTGAAAGTTATTTTACAAAGATGTTCCTCTTCTTGAGTGATCCCAGAGTCTTTAGTACTGCATCTTCCTACCCTGGTCCTTTTGAACAGTTTGCCTTGATCCAACCAGTATTTTGACTCATTCACCTTAAAAATAACTGCCCACACAGTCACCTTCACCTTCACAAACAAGAAGTCTTATATTGCTATTTCATTCAAGCAATTTAGGACAGCTATAACCTTGGCCTGGAACAGGCCAGCGTTGTTGGTGGCACCGTTCAGGTGGAAAAGCCAAGGCACAGAGAAGGACACGAGCTCCCAAATTCCTGCAGGTGGTCAGCAGGGGAGCCAGAAACAGTGCCCAGGAGGCAACTCTGTCCCAGGGGAAAGATGTGGGCAAGGTTAACACAGCAAATAGAAAACGATCCCCCTGAAATAAATGTGACCCATAAAATACATAAACATTGACTGGCCATAAACAGCATTTGCTATTTACGGCATCAGAGCGCCAGGATATTTGCCAGCCATTTGCAGCTTAAAGGATAAACAGCAGTTCTTTTAATCCCGAGTTGTCAAAAGGGTTATATTTAAAGCTATCCATTTCTCCCCAGTTTTTCACCCCTTACATCAGTTGTTTTATGCTTTGCACTGATCCCACTGCTGTAAATATCACTTCCGCAACACGGTGGTGGTGCAGTAAATATCCTTTCTGGTACTGAAGCTGGCTGTGAGGGACTCCTCCACTCCCTGTAACGAACTGGAATAGAAACACCGTGGGGATAAAAATACAAGAATTGGGGCTTTGACTAAATGGCAGCTTTTGTCACCATTTCTCTGAGTGTTTGAAAAATGGAGGCTGTGAATCCAGCTCAGAAACACTCACTTGGGAACATCAAAGGAAGCCTGAAAAAGACAAAAAAATTACCGAGCATTTTGCTGAACCTTGGAGTGTTTTGGTGGCTGGAGGGCAAGAAAGCTGTGTTTACTACAGCTAACGGGTTTGTTTAGAATGAAATAAAAATCAACAGTAAACTACTCAGGATTTGGCAGCTTGTCCCTTCGCAACCCTCCTCTTGCTCTGCTGCTTCAACTGGAGTGACTTAGCCACATCACCTTATAAGAAGAATTTATGGTCCAGGGCTACAAACTCTGCTTTCTATTAATATTATTATTTTCTAATCCAATGTTTTAAAATGCCTTCTGCTTGAACTCTGTCAGAAGTTTGGAAATGTCTTGAGATCCCTGAAGACTGTTTTCCTATTTTCCCCACAGAAAACCTTCACGTTCTTCTGGGTCATTTACATGGAAGCGCTTTAGGGACTGATGCCTTTTGATTTTTATCATTTTGGTTTGTTGCAGCGTGAAATCTGTACTAAGATATTAAATGTAATAATGGTATGTTTGTTAGAAATACGTAAATACAAAACTAAAATGCTGTTCTAAAATAAAACTTGAGCAAAACAGATTGGAAAAGTAAAATGCCAAATGAAAACAAAGCATGCCTGCACTATAGAAACTAAAATGTCATTTTTCTTGGCTTTCCCCGTCTGATCTACATTCCTGTGAAAAGTTATGCATGCAGTGATAGAGAAAGAATCTGCATCTATATAGTTTATGCCATCAGACTTGCTTGTCTTATGACAAATGAGAAGTTACCATCTCTCCCAGCTCTAATACTGTCCCTATTAGTACGTACTTCATTTTTAACACTTTTAGTACTTATTCTTAAACTGGGCTTTGCTCTTTCCCAGGGCTGGTGGATTTGCCAATCCAAAGAATGACAGCATGCAGCAGAGCGGTGTTTTAGCATCGGGATGAAAAGGTTTTTGGAAAAACAAGGGAGGATCTGACAGAGAACACAGCACAGTGTGCACCATGAGTACATCTGGGGCATTGTGCAGATCTGTGAGGCACCAAAGGAAAACCTCTCTCTTGCCTGGGTGATGGTGCTTCCCCGATTGTCTGTGCTGGGGAGGACAAGCTGCATCTCCTGCCTTCATGCTGGAGTTGTCTGCTGGACCTGCCTGCCTTTGGGAAGCCATTTACTTTAATTGGGTCTCATTCACCTGCAGGCAAAGCCTTGGCTGTAGTTGGGCTGTGTGGGTTTTTAGGGCAGCTCTCCAGCCCTGCCAAGCACTTACAATATTATTATTTTCCAGCTGAAGACCCCCAGCAGTTTAAGCACTCTGACGGTGAGCTTCATGCTGCTGTGTCGTTTAACGTATCTCTTCCCACTGTAACATCCAGACAGCAAAGTGCAGCCGAGCTCATCCACCCGAGCATCCACCAGCACCCACAGTCTCACACCAGCAATGACACCATGGCCCCAACAGCTCCAGCCCTGCTGGTGGGAGCACGGGTCTGCAGCCATCAGCAAAGTGCTTTTACCCATGGCACCGGTGGGGCAGAGCATCACCCCATCATGTACTGGAGACTTCTCCAAACAATCATATTTGTCACTGCCATCCTGAGAACAGTTCCAGTGGCCATAATCTGAACAGCAATGTAGAAAGCAAGGGACTGGGGTGCAAACCCAGGTCAGAAAAACCCATATGAAGAAAAACCCAGGGGCTGCCTTTCACTGTCACCTTTTTTGCCTTGGTACAAAGCAGTTACATGCCTTTTCTCCTCCATCTGTACTCAGTACAGTGGAACAGTTATTTGGGGAAGCATATCCCTGGCTATACACAGCAATTTCCCATCAGCCTGAAGCAAGGTGGGACCAGGACCTTCTGCTGACCATCCAGCAGTGGAAGGAAAAAGAAGATCTGGTATTTAAAACAAGCACTTTTTCAGTAGGGAGGCATGGACGGGAATGTGTTGGAGGGAGAGGCAGCCCTTCCCTGTGCCAGGACACGTGAAGCCTGCAACAGCAGCTCTGCAGAACGGCAGGGCCACGCTGGGGCCAGCGTGAGCCGTTAATGGGTTGTCTGTTTACGTTGCAAGCAGGCTCGGGAAGAACCTTAAATGCATATTTTCCTCTTGAAATATTGAACCCAGTGTTTTCATTTTCAGAGGCCTGAGGAAAAATTATGTTTCATATTTTAAAAATAAACACTGCTTTTACAGAGGTATAAATGCAGACCTATAGTATCCAGCACATCTTTGCCTCTCACTTTATTTTCAAAGCTTTAATGTTGCTTGTGTGCCACAACCTCTGCTAGTGAAAATATTCACCTGAAATGTATTTATCTTTCTTTGCTAATTAACAGCAAAATGACACAGAGAAACTTTATATTTTCCTCAGCAAGAACAGCCATAGAGGCTTCATTTATGGAGGGCTCTGAATGATCCCCATTCATGGTGAGCAAGTACTGTCTGCACCAAGGGATCCTTGTGTGCATGAGGAGAAACCCCATCACAGACAGGGCTGGAAGTAAAAATCCCCCTGATTTTATGCTTTTATTTCACTTTTCCCCCTAATAGTCATAAATGTATGAGTGTAGCTGTTCTATATATTTGGGGAGTAAACATACCTGTGTGCATTGGATAGTACTTATATATACTAGCACCATCTAAATCCACGCATGTATAAACACGTCCACGAAAAGCATGCACAGAGGAGGGTTGTGTATCTGCATGTGTGTATGTGCACACACACATATATTTGTATACATAAATACAAACATGTTTATATGCATGTATGGTTACATGTGTATGTGTTTATGCATCCATTCACAGGCATAAGCGTTTGTACATGAAGATTTTATGCCGGGCTCCTTGTGCACGCACAAGGATATATGTGAATCTCTGCCTGTGTGTTCTATACCACTCCATGGTCACAACCTGCAGCCTTCACATCCTGCATTGTAGCCCTTTTAATCACAGCGGCTCTGACATAATGAGCAAAGTAAGATGCTACCAAGCTTGGAAAAGGGCCTAAATGACAGAAAGAGGTGAAATGGGAGTAAAATAAAGCTCATCTGGAGCATTTGCTCCTTCTGGCTGAAAATTTCCAGCTAGCTCCAGAGATGGTGGAAAGCCTGCAACTGAGGGAAGATAGCAGTGGGACAAATCCATGCTGATTTTGCATGAGAACATAGCCCTCTTTTAATATTTTAATTAACAATTTTAATGTTGAAAGAGTTAAGAATAGCCTGGCAACTTCACTAAGGACAGGTCCCTTTCTTTCCTAATCAAAGATCCTTTCTCCACAGGAGCTTTCAGTCTCTGTTGAAGCACTTTTGGACTAAAGAGTGACTCTGGATAAGGGAAGAAAAACTGGGCTTTGAATTAAAGGTAGTTTGCCATGGTGCTGCACTAACACAATGCAGATTAAATGGATGAGTGCTCCAAGCGTGTGCGGCTGGAAAGGTGAGCAAAGACTAATCCATCAGAGGAGAAGGGCTTTAATCAAATGACAGTAGTGTAATACAGTAGTTTAAAAAAAAAAAAAGAAAAGAAAATAGATGCACTGCTTTGTGATGAACCCATCATTAAATTAATCTTCCTCTAGTACCAAATCTCCCTACTGCTCTTCCATAAAGAAAACATTGGATTTCTACTCACTTGCAGCATCATCAGTCTTATTTGTTGATTTAGATTATTGGCTTTTTGTGGCAGGAGCTGTATCTCCCTCGTGTGTGCAGACCTAAACACTACGCTGTAAAAAATAAATCAAACTTCTAATCTCTCTGTCTATCCCAAGTTTCTTGTCTATTTATCTGCTTTAGGCTACTGAGCTCTTTCTTTCCCTCCCTGCTCTCCTGCGCAGGGGGCACAGACTCATAGAGAAGTAACTGTTTCCCGCAGGAAGAAATTTGTTCTGTATCCTACACTTTCGCCCGTGCCTCCCAAATCCTTGCTCCTCTCTTCCTCTCCCCTCCTCCTACAACCAAGCATTCATGCGCAAATTAAGGAAGCGAAGCTCCCCGACCCCGTGGGCCGGTTTCCAGCCCTGCACTTGGCAGACGTGGGGACTGAGAGATGATTTGTGTGAACCTATCCCTTCACCCCCCCCCAAAAACCACCACCACCGCCCCCTCCTTGGGTTTGCCGGAGGAAGGACACAAGCCTGACACACCGCAGAGCCTTTGCTTGCTGTGGCAAAGCCCAGGGTTTGCGGCCAGGAGCTGGTGATTGACAGGTTAACCCCAGTTCCCCAGGGCTGCTTTCACTGGTCCCACTGTTAGGGCCCCAGATTCTCCACATACCATGCCGGTTTGGGTCTCTTTATAGCTCCCCATCCCCTTCGCCCAGCAATGGAGCCATTGTGGAGGGGCTGAGGGCTGGCAGGGCTGGACATACATCCCTTCCCCACCTTCATGCAATATTTTATCCTGGTTCTTCTTGCTTGTCCCTCACTCCTCTGTGCCCCCCCCATCCCCGGCCCTTCACACGTGTCAGGGGCTGGCCCCATGCCTCCCCGAGGAAGGCCAGGTTAATACCTGCGGGCCAAGGCTCTTGCTTGCCACTCTGCATCCAGCCTCCAGCTCCTCTGCAGCCATGGATGGGATTTTCTCTGCTTTGCTGCTCTCTTTGCTGCTTCTCCTCCAGAGCCATGGAGTTTGCGGGACACGTCCACAGCCGAGAGGTAAGTGGGAAGCTCAGTGGTGGGATGCATGGTGTTGGTCCTCTACCTCCTTGCCACCATCCTGCTTCAGGACTGGGAAGGAGATGAAGGAAGAAGAAATATGCAACATCAGTCAGGGAAGCAAAGGAGCTTTCTCAAGTGTTTTCCCAAGGCAGCAAAACCTGGAGATGTGTTTGCTTTTGTCTGTCGCATGGCTTTAGAGAAATAGTGCAAGGTTTGACCAGCAAAGGTGGCATCAGATCAGCCCTGGTTCCCAGCGTAGCATCAGCCTCAGGGCTCACTGTTTTTGGCTGGAGGAGGCCCAGGCAGGACGAAGGCTCTCCCCTACCTCCTCCTCTCTGCAGAGGGCCGGTTTGGCCACAGGCTCGAGGAGGAGTTGGCCAGACACCCCAGACTCTGGTTAACCTCACCCAGAGGAAGGTCTGGGTCAGGTTGCTGAGGATGGGCCTCTCTTAGATTTTACTTCATCCGTTCTTGAGCAAAATCCTGCTCTGTTTGTCTTTCCAAGTGGCGTGTGGAGCAGCCAGATGGGAAATGAGCTGCCTGCTATTTGAGGTTGCACGGTCTTTAACTCCTCATCTGCAATTAGTGTCAGCAAGTGCCGGGTCTTGGAGGGTCTGGGAGTGAGGAAGCATCTCGCCTGTGCCCGGGGCTCCAGCCAACCTGGGCAGCTCACCACAGGAGAGGTGGCCAAGGCAAAAGTTACTGATGGGTTTTAAAATTCTTGAATGATCTTGTGATGACATATCATGCACATACCTGGGCCGATTGACAGTTGTAAAACAGGCGTGACAGCGACTTCCGTCTTAGTTGTTGCTTGTGAAGGGGAGTTTTCTGCTGTACTGACCATTTTCTCCTTAGTAATTCGGAAAGGGAGAGTCATCTGTGCTGCAGAACCCCTAGCGCTACCGAAGTCAGGAAACTAAACAGACCAGTCATTCAGCTCAGCCCTACCGTGAGCAATTGCTATTTCTAAAACAAACACCTTTTAATTCTGAGTTACTAGACAGGTTTCCTGTTCTTTTAATGAATATGTCAAAGATGCCCTAAGATATATTTTCTGCTAAATCAGTGCACGAGGTTCAGCTGTTCCCTAATAACTTCAATTGTGGACGGTTTTTTAAAAAATAGAGGAGGATTTTATTTCTGGTTTAATTCAACTTTAAAATAAACTATATTGAGTCAAGGTGTCACTCATAGCAAGCGTGCCTGGCTGTCATCTCCCAGAGATAGCCGAGGCCTGTCCTGCAGACTCTGGTGTGTGCACAGCAGCTGTGACCAGATGGGCTCAAATCCCAAAGCTCCCGTCTGATATATCTTCTTTTTCCCTGAAATACACTTGACTCTCTTAAAAGAGGTTTAAAATGTTATTTAGGGTAAAACTGCAGAGCTTCCATGCAAAAAAAATTGCAAAACTTTTATTGGATCCTACTGTTCCCAGGAAAAAAGAATACCTTTTCTTCCTTGGTTTGTCACTGAAAACAGAGGTGACTCATTAGCTACAGTGGAAAAGGGCAATTTTCTCCTTATTTCTGGAGGAAGTGATTGCAAGATTCTGAGCCTTTCTCCATACCTTCATTTCTCACCTGTAAAATGGTCATAACCAACCTCTGGTAAAGAGATTTGTAATACCATAGATGGACTGCCAACTGAGTTTTTCCTTCCTCTGCAGTGAATTATGGTGGCAAAGTGAAAGGTACCCATATGGGAAAAGGTTGTATTGCATTTTAGTGGAAACCAGAGCATCTGACAAAGCAACCACTGCCTGCTTCCCTTCTGCACACAGCATCTTTTCAGAGAGACCTCTCTGGGCACCAGGAGCAGATTCAGCGTTAGTGTCTCTCAGGAAACTAACCTGATTATATTCTTTATAGATACATCACAGGGTATTTATTTTCATCTGTCTGAAAGACTGAAAGCTCCATTAAATTTCACACTGAGGACTGGCTATAATATTTATGTCATAATTTGGAACAGATTTGTTGGCCCGAAAGCTCACATTTAAAAATCTGTCCACAGAAATCTCCTTTGTGATATAACCTGTATCGTCCCTCTCTGCAGAAATCAAATACTAACAGAGCACTTGATGCGGCTACAGAGACAGGCTAAATGATAGAACAAAAATTAAGAGAACAGAATGTTATAGATCCGGCAGGGAAAATGAGACAATTCATTTTGAAAATCATAAAAAATATCAGTCCTTTTTATGTTTTGCCACAGTTAAAAATTAAGATGGAAAACAGCATGAAAATGAGAAATTTAAAAAAAAATCACTCTGCTCTTTGCATTGCTAATGCTTCCTGTTTATACCATTACGTTCTACAGTGGATATTCATGGCTTACTATGGGGTTGTAGAGATTAACTATCAATTACGTGGATCTACATCTCTCTATTGTATTCTCCCTTGCCTGCTCACAGAAATAAAACAGCACTGGTCTTTGCTGTGTAACAGTATTTCATTATTAGTGCCACTTGCTGAAACACATGAGACTGGTTCATGTTCTGTTGGTGAGTTAATCTGTGTATCTTGATTCACAGCTGAACCTGAACTGCTGAGTTCCATGCCTGCTTCTGGTCATGCATGGCGAAGATATAATCTCATGAATTAATATCTGTGTAGATGGCTTATCCATGTCCGAAATGCAGTAACTCGTTTTGAGACTTTGGTGCAGAAGTGCTTGTGCAGGCTCCACTTCACAGCCGTATTCCTCCCTCCGTGCTGTCATAAGTGAATTAAGTTTGGTGTAGGCATTAGCAATAGCCTGGGGTGACAAGTGGGTAACCTGCTCCCACCAGTGCAGCGCTGGTGTCGCACCAGCTCTCTCCCTCAGAAGTACATCTTGTCAACCAGTAACTGTGCTTTTCTTACAGATGCTTTCCTATGAAAGGAAAAAGAACATTTAGAAATATCAGGTTAAAGTGGTCTCACCAGGCCTCTCTGACACAGGCAGAGAAAGGACTGAAGCTTGCAGGTCCCCTACCCTCAGGCTGCTGCTCTAACAAGACCGTTCTTTCCGTCCTAGGCTACTTTTCCTTTTCTTTTATTTTTCTCCTCCCTCCTTGTTCTTTCCAGGCACCCTGTGCAGAACCAAACCCACCGACCTGGTGTTCATCATCGACAGCTCTCGAAGCGTGCGCCCAAGCGAGTTTGAGAAAGTCAAAGTCTTCATGTCCCGGGTGATCGAGGGGTTGGATGTGGGCCCCAACTCCACCCGGGTGGGTGTGATCAACTATGCCAGTGCTGTCAAGAACGAGTTCTCCCTCAAGACCCACCAGACCAAAGCAGGGCTCCTGCAAGCAGTTCAGAGGATAGAGCCACTCTCCACTGGGACTATGACTGGCCTGGCTATCCAGTTTGCCATTAGCCGGGCTTTTAGTGACTCAGAAGGGGCCAGGGTGAGGTCTCCCAATTTTAATAAGGTAAGAAAAGTATCTGTTTCTTGGGCGCTCCATCTTTTGTGTGGTCCATCATGGAGTGGTTGGAGAAATCAGAGAAGGAGGAAAGGTGATTTTCTCTGCACTCTGAGTATGCGGGGACAAGTCAGGGTTAATTATCAAAGGTAGCAAACCTCTGGGAGGAGGAAACCTCCCAACTCTTCTTGAAAACAAAGCTGAGCTTTCTTTTGGTCTAAGCAGGCCAGAAGTTGTCAGGGTAAATTTAATCCTGCTTCACTTCTCTCCTCTCTGCTCTGTTTGTCCTTTGGGACATGGCTCCTGCTTCCAGTGTGCCCGCAACAACATCCCACTGTGAGATGCTGATCTCAGCCAGCTTTGCTAGGTGTGAACACGCTAGGATGGACAACGCTCATCCTCCCCAAAATACTTCAATAAAGACACTGCAGAATCCAGCAAAAGTGAGACCACCTTCTGAAAGCTTCCTTTGAAATGGCCCCTTTCAGCTGCAGATATACAGCGAAGTCCCATTTCAGTGTCCTCCACTGCTCTCCCAGTTTTTCAGAGGCTGGCTGGTGGCTGTGTTTTCCACTTTGGGTATTCTCTTCAGGCACACAGACTTTACTGACCATTTAGCATTTCAGGCTGTGGTATAAGGTCAGCTTAATTCTACACGTGGTTGCAATGGGCATTGCTGCTCCTGACCCATATTCCCTATCCAGGAAGATCAGTCTTTAAAAAATTATTCCTCAGATACATCATTCATTCTCTCTGGATTTGACCATGAATGAAACTAGACCTCAGCCCAATGACCATCATCAGGAAAACTCTTCTGAGCATGTGGAGAATGCGTTTTCCTGACAAAATTAGCTAAACCTCATGCACACACTTCCTAGGCCATTGTGTCCCATGCCAGCTCCACTGGCTCTCTGCTATGAGAATGGACCAGAAAAATAAGCAAAAGTGTTAGCAAGCAGTGAGAGCTTTCCACCAGATGGACAGAAGCCCAACTGTTGGAGCAAGGAAACTTGGGGTTTTTCTCCTGATTACATTTTTGCCATATCAGTCACTTTCCATTTCCCTCACAGTTACTAATGCTCTAGGAAAGGCAAAGCAGAACATGGAAAAGATGCCCAGGGATGGCAAGTCAAAAATAATACTGAAAAGTGAAAAACAGACAATGGTGAAGATCTACCAAGTCAAAAATCAGCAGCCAGAAGGCTCAGCTGATCTGAAATTCACAACATACCCCTAAAAATGAGGTTGTCTCCTAAAAGGATGGTCTAATTAAACGCTTGTTTGCCCCTCACCATGTTGAACTATAAGCAATTTGCAAATATGAATGAATTCATATGACCTCATATGGTCTTTTATTGTGGGATTCACAGCAGGGAAAATTCTATGTATCCTTGGCCTAAATTTGATTTGATACAAGAGGAAGAAAACAAAGAGTGAGAAAAATTACACTCCAAGAAACTTTCACTAAGTCTCATTGGCAATCAGTTCTAGAGAGAGAAGCTCATCTGATGAGCCATCATGATCACATCATTACTTGGGCTTAGGATTCACCTGGTGGAAAATGTAATAGCCCAGCTCTCACAGGGGAAATCCAAGACCTGTTTGCAATGGGTTTTATTCAAAAGGAGTAACATTGGTTTGTTTGTCAAATTCTTTGAGGTTCACCGAAAGAAAACATTGCAAAATTGCAAGGTGTTATTAATATTATATTATTATTATTATCATTATTAATTTTAGTAAAGAGCTTTAAAATCCATTAGGTGTAAGACTAACTGTTCTCATTCATTTTACTGAACTGTTTAAGTGCAGATTCAGCCTTTAGCTCAAATCTGCTGTTTTCTGGAGGTTCAAGCAGCTGCTGGTTGCCTCCAAGGTGTGTTTTCATGGAATCACAGCGTGGTTTGGGTGGGAAGGGACCTCACAGCCCCCCAGTCCAACCCCCATGGGCAGGGACACCTCCACCAGCCCAGGCTGCTCCAAGCCCCGTCCAACCTGGCCTTGGGCACTGCCAGGGAGGGGGCACCCACAGCTTCTCTGGGCAACCTGGGCCAGGGCCTCACCACCTCACAGGGAAGGATTTCTTCCTAATATCCAGTCTAAATCTCCCCTCTTCTAGTTTAAAACCATCACCCCTCGTTCTATCACTAAATGCCCTTGTATGTGGAAAACCTATGGCACCTAGATGGTACCTCGGTTATGAACGAAGGATCCTAAAGAAGGGGTCTGATTTCCCATCTTGTTGCGTGAAGACAGCCCCCATTGATTTCACAGGTTTTCTTATTGTTTATCTTTCAAATGGAACAAATAATGGGATCTTTTCAGATCCATTTTCCTCTTGGAACACTACCTAATCCATTCATGACCCTCAGACATCTCACTCTATTTCCTTATTTTTTCCTGTCTTTATCTAATACCCAAATGCCTATTTTAAGACAAGGTGACCATGTAAATGTGGTCAGGACTGGGACACAGTCCTAATTTGTACAATACTACTACAATACTTTCAGTATTAGTCTCTATTTTTCTCCTTAATACAGCCAGACACCTTACACGCAGCATTGACCATTACTGTAAATTGAAGAGACATTTTCACTGAGCTGTCTGTGAAAATGCCTGGGTTTTTATCTAACTAATCTCTTCCACACCATTTAAGTAACCCCTTTCCATGTGTGCTATTTTCCTGCTCTTGTCTACTCTGCAGCTGGGTTGCCAGACAGCTCACTCAAGATGCTCTTGCAGTCCCTGTGATTTCTTGTCATCTCAATACACATAAGAGCTGCCAGTCCCTGCTAATAAACCAAACAAGCCTTCAGTTTAAATATCTGAACCCTTCCTAAAAAGTCAAATTTGTTTAGTGGCTTACTGCAGTAGCCTGGCTAAAGCATCAATGTTTCTGTGGACAGTGGTACAAAGAACTTTAAAGTCGTTTTATCTCTCTGAAACCTTATTTTCTGGACATCTAAAAAAGCAGAAGAATAGTTGTGGTCTTTTAAATGATTTATCTTAGGTATTAAAAAAGAAAAAAAACAAACCACTACAGGCTTTTACCTCTTTCCTTACACTTTGAATCTGGTCAAAGACAGAATCAGAGGAAAATTGAGGTTGGTAGAGGCCTCTGGAGGTCAAATCGACCAACACCTTCTGCTCAAGCAGGGCCATCTGGAGCTGGTTGACCAGGATTTTGAATACCCCAAAGGTGGGAGACTCCACAACCATTTGCATTCCTTGGTTCCTTGGTTATTGTTCTATCTTTTTCCACAATGCCTTGAGTCCAGCAAACTTATTCTTTCTGTGACCCTCATGCTGCCCAGGGTAGCTCTGTGATCTGCCTGGGTGCCTGAACAGGTCACACAGTGATTTAGGGAGGTGAAGCTTCCAGAAACACTGGACACAGTCCTTGCTCCTTCACACAGCAGAAATCCAACAAGTCCTTATGAAAATCTGTACTGTAATTGTCAACCATGTGGGACACTGGTCAAAGCATCACAAGATCAACCAGTCTTGCTGTGCTCTGTGCAGCAAATGTCACCCCAGGACAGGGAAAAGCACTACTTGTTTCTGTAGGAGCTCAAAGTCAAGTCTTTTTATGCCTTTATAAAAAACTACAGGGGTGCCCAATTACTTTAATCTTTCTTTAGGAGAAACAACAAACAGATTGTCAAATTGCTGAGAAAATCAAGGGCTTATTCAACTTTCTGCCCGATTCCCCTTTCAGTGCTGCTACAACGTTCACGTTATACACCGCATAATGAGACACAGCTACCTCATTAGCTGCTGGATTGCCTACACATAGCAGCCCTGAAATATGAATACCTAGGGATGCCCGTGAATACTCTGGTGCCTTAGTTAACCAAGAATAAATTGTGTCATGAGAACATGGGGGATTTGTATATGACAGAAGTAACACAAGAAGGATCCAGAAAGTTAGGAATTCACAGGAAAATTAAATGTGGTGGTTAAAATTAGTAAAAGTTTTGACCTTGAAAAGCAAAAGTTGCTGAGTTCCCTTAGGGCAAAGCTGGAGAGCTTGTTCAGATATTTGAGGCAGCCAAAGCCTTCATCCTTTCTTAATTCTCCTCACATGGCAACCTGCTGGGTCCAGCACAAGCCCCACGCTGCAGAGCAGCATCAGCCTCTCCAGGGTGCAGCGGCTGCTCCTTTCCTCCAACCTCTCTCTTGCTTTTTGCCAAACAAGGCACATACCAGGAGTCTCGGCTTTTTAAATGAGACAAGGTCATAACACAGAGAATTACAGAGATCCTGTGACTGCAGATAAATTGGAGGTAGGTTTAAAGTGAAAGGATGGGTTTTTTTTCACACTGGAACTCACTGCCTCAGGCTGGCTAGCAAAGGTCTAGAGCAGAAATCCTAAGAAAAATCAGAATTTCCTAATTATCAAAGTAACTGCATATGATGGCATGATCACTTTGTATTTGTTCTGTTTCTTACACTCATTCTGTAAGCACCTGGTCCTGGCCATGGTCACAGCCAGGTTCCCTGGCTGGGTGCTGATCACTGATACATCCATTTATCCATGGGTTCACTGATTAATTCCCGATGCCTGATCCAGACTCTCTGTACCCAGAAGTTTTGTTTTCTCCAACAGCAGGGCAGAAAGTAACACGAATGTTGGGTGCTCTATAGCAGATTTTCACACAGATGCATTATGAAGATCCTTCCCATCAGATGTAGATGTGGATGCTGCTACCAGACACTTCCTGGGTTGTACCTGGGGTTCAGGCCTATGTGAAGAAGTCACCGTGATGTGACGATCCAAAGGAACTGATTAAACGTGGAGAATCATTTTATTTAGACAGAGAAATGCCAGGAGGACATGCAACACCTCCATCCTGTGACAAACACTGCGAGAAAGATACGCAGCTACTGACAGAAAGCTGCTCCTAGGGTGGTGTTGCTCACAGAAGCGACTTGATAACACATCTCGTTTCCTGACAGGTTGGCTTTTGATGAGCTCTAATTGGCAGCCCCGTGGAGCTGCTGGGTGTGCAGGAAGCAGAGCTGGGCTGAGGCGAGGGCTCTCTCTCCTGGCAGAAAGCTCCATTGCACGGATTGGCTCTGCTCCTGGCCTCGCTGCTGGGACAGAGACAACCCCACCGCTCCTTTCGGTCGGTCTTTGATTGCCATGGGCATCCCCCTTTAAAACACACACTGACATCTGCCACGGGTGACGCTTCTCCTCATTTTGGTCACAAGCAGAAGACAAATACTTGGATTTTTTTTTTCTTTCACTCAGAAGTAGCCAGTTACAGAACTGTGATGCTATTAGGAATTTTTAGTATTGTAGCCCTTAGGAAGTGCAGATAAAGACCTGAGATAACAGACTTGCACCAGATAGAAAAGTTCTATATTTTTCATGGTTCACACATGTTTTCCCTGGAAGGAAAACTCTGAACGGGGCAGCAGAACACTGCTGTATTAGGGTATTACTCCTGAGCAGATGATTGCAGCCTTTAGCCATCCCTCAGCCAAAGGGTGACAGAGGGGAAGGAGCCACTTCATCTGCATGGCCAAGGTCCTTTGGGTGCATGGGGCAGGGAACCCCACTCATGACCTTATCCAAGATGAATTTTCTCCTCGAGGAGATGTGGTACCCAAGGATGTACAACAGCTATCGTCCTGACCTGAGCAGCTGGTGGCTGTGATTTTATCTTCTGAATGATGGAGTGCATATATGGCATAGTGGAAAATAGCAAATACTGCCTTAATGACCAGAGGATAGCTCAGTCAAACTCTCTGTTGCTGCCAGATAGGTTTTTTTTCCTGCCTTTGTTGTTTGATGTTTCTTTACTTTCTGTATTACTGAGGGCATTTGCCTGTGATGTGGAGGGTTTTTTTCTGCTGAGCAGCTCCCTGACTCCTGGTGATTATGTATCTCCATACTGCATTACATCCCAGTCATTTGCTTTGGGGTTGACAGGGGTGTCACTATAAAACAGTTGTAAGGAAAAGTGGCAGGAGCAGGTGAACTGGCAAAGAACAAAAATGAAGGTTTTGTGACAATGTCATTTATCAGAAGAAAAATAAAGAGGAAAATGGACCATCTAGCAACAGGAGCAGAACTCTTGGGGGCTTTCCACTAGTTCAGAGCTCAATCTAATCCAGGGTGAAATCCAGTTCCCACTTAAACCAGCTGTCAATTTAATGCTGATGTTAGCAGGGGTAGGATTTCACCTCTGCTGTTCACTGAGGAACAGGGAATCAGGAATCATGGCAGGCACTGACACACATCGTGGCCTTAGGCAGATCTCTTCACCTCTCTCTGCTTCAGCTTCTCCATCTATAACAACAGAAAAAGTCTTCATCTCATGATGCTACCATTACATTTTCTGAGATTCTTTTAAGTTCCACACCGAGCCTGAGTTGCTCAGTTGTCACCTGGGGGTTCATGAAGGTAGAGTTCGGCTGGAGCATCAGTTTGCCTATGAAGAACATAACCTTTACTTTGGTTTCCTTAGGGGTGAGATGCACCAGTTGTCCCTTAACTACATCGGTCAGGTCCATGGCAGTTTAACCTTTCCTGTGTAGAAAGAAACAAATTCATATAAAAAGAATGGCCTGTGTGGTCGCAGGAAGAATGAGGAGAGCAGGAGGAGGTGACATCTCCTTTTTCTTTAGTTTTAGAGATGTGAAAGCTTCTTTCCTAACCCAGCCTGCTCCACAAGCAGTAGTATTTTAATGCCCATTGAAGCGTACATCTTGCTTCTGCCCTCCTCTACGTAGGTGGCGATCGTTGTGACCGATGGACGTCCCCAGGATGGAGTGCAGGATGTGTCAGCGAGGGCCAGAGCGGCCGGCATTGAGATCTTCGCCATCGGGGTTGGCCGGGTGGACATGCACACGCTGCGGCAGATCGCTAGTGAGCCCCTGGATGACCATGTGGACTACGTGGAGAGCTACAGCGTGATAGAGAAGCTGACCCACAAGTTTCAAGAAGCTTTTTGTGGTAAGTCGTTGCCACAAGCCCTGGGCTCCTCACCAAGAGCTGCAAGTGGCTGCCAGCAAGCTTTTCACATTGAAATTGTATTCATGATCTTCCTTCGTCCATCTCCTTTCTTCCAAGGACTTGGGTCTGTGGGAGGATGAAGTGGTATGGGAGACAGATGCTCTTTAAGTTGCTTTTCAAGAATTTCAGGTTTTGTTTAGGGATTTTCAGGTTTTACTTAAAGAAACCTCCAGACTGCATTGGCACGGAAGAGTTTGTAAACATGACCCATGTACTCCTTGAGGTACTGAAAAAGAACATGGAAAACATGACCTTTTTTAGCTAAAATCATTCTTCTTGTGTTTAAGCCCATCTTGGCAGTTCTGAGAATCTGGCTTGTAATTTCCGCCACCAGTATTGTCTTCTGAATTCCCAGTTTAAGCAAGAGATGTTTTCACTTCCCTGCTAGAGGCTGAACGGCCTTTGCCTGTCTTTGCTGTTGTTTTTGCAAGCCTTGTGAGGCAGGAAACTCTCCTGGCTGGTGCAGTATCTAATGCCTTTCTGCACAGCAGATAAAAAGAGCCTGACTATCCCACAAACACATATTCACTCCTACATGAACTGGTGAATGGAGTGAGAAAGCTTTATTACTTTCAAACGTACCCACAGGACTGTAGGAGCTGGGCTATAAATATCCATTTTATGTGTCAGCGAGAGAGGCCTGGGGGTTTCACACGCCCATCCCACCGAAGCACAGACGTGCGGCAACACCTTTTAAAACGTGCGATGTACCACGGTGCCTATGGCGAGGCATTTCAAACACACACACACAGATGGACCTGTAAAACTCTCCGAGACCAATTTCTTCAAGAGGTGTAAAAATTTCATGATTCAACTTTCAGGCAAAAAATGATGGGGGTGAGCAGCTTTTCATCAAGGAAAATTTCCTCCTCTGTAGGAAGGAGGAAAATTTTGAATATAAAGTGAGTCATGTATTATAATCAGGCGTCACTGCACCAGAAGCTCATGAAAGAGGGGAACAAATGCTTCATATTAAAGTGGGAATAGAAGCAAAACTTGAAAAGGTGGAATCCAGGCCATGAATATTGGTGGGAGTTTGTGTTGGCTGCCCTGGAGCCAGGCCAGAGACAGGGAGGCCTGACAAAGTCTTTAGAGGTTCTGGTGCTGGTGTCATTCAAAAGGATAAAGAGAAAAAAACGCCTTTCTGTGCCCTGCTTTTCAAAACGCCTTCCTGTGCCTTGCTTTTCAAATCCGTAACTTGCAGATGACAAAGTTCTCCCCATGGTGAAAACCCTCAGAGATGCATCCAAGGGAAGCACTGTGCTAAGGATTATTATAGCTTACAGAAAAGAGCACCACATTAACTGTCAAGCGGGCTGTTACTGTGCTGTGCAAGCAGCTGCACAAAACCGTCCTTGGAGATGTACCCAAACACCACCTGCTACCGCGAGGCACGGTTTGTGGGTACTGACAGCGGGAAGAACTGTGCAGCACTGTCCAAGTTGTTTCCCATAATGCTCAACAGACACATGGGGAAACGGGAGACCCTTGGCAATCCAGCCAATACTTAGACTAATAAGATCAGATCTCTGCAGGCTTCAGAGAACTCAATCTGAGAGCCCAATGTTAGAGCCATCTGCGTGGTTAGTGATATTCCTAATGATATGAGCTACATATATGCTGGAAAGATCTACCAGTGCTGGCACAATATGCAGATGCATGAATTGGGAAGGCCGGAAGAAGCATAAAATAAACGCAGAACAGAATGCAAATTACTTGAAATAATGAATAGAAGGCCCTTAACTTTAAAGACTTTGCACCACCTCCCATCATTACGATAGAACCAGAAATGCTCAATTTTCTGAACAGATTTCCCTGCTATTTGTAAATGAATTTGCTTCAACCAGAGCTGTTTACTTCTGAGTTTGTTTTCCATCATCATTGCTGTAGCTGTGACAGTGTTGTCAGTCACTGAATGGTGCTGGCTCAGACTGCTGCAATTCAGCTTCTGTTTGCTCAGCAGCTCAGGAGTCAGATCCAGGTTAAGATCAGCAGGCAGAAATGTTTGTAGACAGAGAGTCTGAAAGCTACATGTGTGAGGGCAGCTCTGAAGTGAATTCCAAGTAAGTTTGGACATGAATCCCATCCAGGAAAGAAAACCGTACTCATCCAGAACTCACTGATCATTATTGTACTGCATAGCTGGATAAAATGGCTATTGGCCAGCCCAGATGGTAGGTTGGAAACCAAATCTCAACCAGTAGCTTTGGAGAGTTAAATACATTGTGATATGCTCAACAGACAGATGGTTTTACCCTCAGTATGGAGCTGATTTCTCATCTTGGCTGTGCCTTAGAGACAGGAGACTTGTGAAAATTTCTCCTTACCTCTTGTATCTCAGTCACTATCCAAGAGTAATGACCTCTGCTGCCTCGTCTTGCTATGGAGAGAGTTTAGTTATCACTGAGCATATGGGACAAATATCACGCTTTGTGGATAGGCCAAGTAAGCTCTGGGTGGAGAAGCCTTGGCATGGGCTCTGATTTTAATCTGCCTTTGCTTGCAGTGGTGTCAGACCTGTGTGCCACTGGAGACCACGACTGCGAGCAGATCTGTATCAGCACCCCAGGAGCGTATAAGTGTGCTTGTAAAGAGGGTTTCACGCTGAACAATGATGGGAAGACCTGCAGCGGTATGTAATGACTTTCATTTGCACTGACCCGAGCTGTGATCTGCAGTGGTATGGCGGGGATAAGATTGAGACAGGGTAGACATGTTCTCTTCAGAAAAGGCAGAAAAGGAAACCATGCACTTATAATCAAGAATTATTTTGAAAACATTAGTGTGAACTGTTGTTGAGTTTTGATTGATTAAACCTATTTTATTAGCAATAAAATGACACCGGGCTTACATTTTCCTACATAATTACTTGATGTCTTAGTTGCTGTCCTCTCATATTTTGCTTCAGCTTGCAGTGGTGGGTCAGGATCTGCTCTGGATCTTGTTTTCCTGATCGATGGATCCAAGAGTGTGCGACCCGAGAACTTTGAGCTGGTGAAGAAATTCATCAACCAAATTGTGGACTCGCTGGAGGTGTCAGACAAACAGGCCCAGGTTGGCCTGGTTCAGTACTCCAGCTCTGTCAGACAGGAGTTTCCACTGGGGCAGTTCAAGAACAAGAAGGACATCAAAGCAGCAGTCAAGAAAATGGCCTACATGGAGAAAGGAACGATGACAGGACAGGCCCTAAAGTACCTCATCGACAGCTCCTTTTCCATCATCAATGGAGCTAGGCCTGGGGTGCCCAAGGTGGGCATAGTCTTTACTGATGGACGGTCACAAGATTACATCACTGATGCTGCTAAGAAAGCCAAAGACTTAGGTAGGTCTCTCGAACTCTCAGTGGCTTGTTTCTCCCTTGGACCAGGTCCTGCATCTAGTACCAACCTGGGTATGACATCTTCCCTGGAGATGTCTCTTACTTACAATAGAAACAGGTACTATAGAGTTACTACAGAATGACTTTGTCGAGATGTTGCCTAACTGTCATTGAGTGCCCATAAAGACCTTGGAGCAGCTCTGGCTGGGGTTCAGATGAATCTTGGTTTGCCCAAAGCTGGATTTTGTTCCCACAGCCCTTCTGTGTCTTTGATCTAAGTCTGCTGGAGGTCTCTGCTGAGCAGGGTGGAGTTTCACACATTTGGAATGGGATGCACGCTGGTCTAGCATGCTTCACACAAATGTGAAGGAAACCACAGGGAGGAGATGAGGATTTGTCTGATGTTTGTAATGAAACTCAGGTCAGTATGAGCGGTACTCATGGTGAGGCAAAGATGACCATGAAAGACCCCCCTTGGAGAATAACAGGAGTTGTAAGGCCAAGAGTGGCTTGGCTGTATCAGCCTTGAGGCCTGGAAAAGAAAAAGAAGAAATAAAATAATAAACAAAGCAGAAACACAGATTAAGGGAGTTACTGTGGACTCCCTGTCCAAATCCCAGACACAACGAGACACATTAATAAGAAACTTTCTTCAGCTTTTCCTGGAATATTAAAAGTCCACAGTGGCTACATATTGATATATTTATATGTTTAAGCACTGTGAAGTATAAATATCTTGAGATCTGCCCCTTTCTGCTGAACAAGTTCCCAGTCTCCTGACAGCTCTACATTAAATGGATGCAGCCCATGTGAATACACTCATGAATTGTTAAATCCTTTACTTCCTTTTAACTTCAATCTCGACCACTAGATGGGACTAAGGGCTAGCACATCATCATAAAGGTCAGGTACCAGCTCATGAAAAGCTGATGTTAATGAAGCAAGTTGAAATATTATATGGATGTTTGGCTTTTATAAAACAAAAAGTCTTTATAAACATTATCTAGAGAATTTAGTTTTATGTAATGATAAAACTTCATGCCTTGCTTCTTCCTCCTCTCTTGTCCCTGCACAGAAATCTCCAGCATCTGCTCATAAGTGATAGCAGTGGGATAAATAACAAGATGCTTATAACTGAACTTTGAACAAAAGAAAACCAAAACAAAAAAAAACCAAAACCCACCACTGGATACATCCTGAGGTCGAAAGACAAAAAGAGGAGAAGGGGAAAGCATTACCAGTGTCTAGACATGGACAAGTAGAGACAAATGGTTTGAAACAGGGGTTAACCAGTATCACCATTCAAGTCAATAGGAAAACTGCATTTCAGTTCAACAGAAACAGGTTTAAGCCAGAGGTGGGCAATCAATCAGCGAAGCACAGTAACCGGACGTGTTCTTAACTCAGAGTACGGGTTGCTCTTGACAGACTGTACGAGCTGCAATTTTAGAAAGAGATTCAGCTATAATTTTGCTGAACCACAGGTCTCAATTGCACAGGGGACTTGACCACTACATAGGTTGATAAATGGTGGCTGCAGGCTATTTTGAAAACTTCCACTGCTTCCTTTTTCTGTATGATCGCTTCCCTATTGGATGCATGATCCTGTCAAGGTGTTATGATCATCTGTCCTTTCCTGTGTCTCCAGAACATTGTTCCTGTGGTGATAGTGGTCATTGGGTAATTCTAGTAAGACTTTACCTGCAAAAAATATTTTGGAACCCTCATTGACCTGGTCAAAATAAACCTATAGTAAAGAGTAAAGGAGTTAACTTCCCATCTGAATTGCTGTGTGGAGACTATGGGTCCAGAAAGTGAGCAAGGGTGTACAAACTGAAAAAGGTTTGATACCAGAGCAGCAAGATGCTCCCAAGCAGTCCCACTGACAGGCTCCCATTGCTCACAGGCTTTAGGATGTTTGCTGTGGGAGTTGGCAATGCAGTTGAGGACGAGCTGAGGGAAATCGCTTCAGAACCAGTAGCCGAGCACTACTTCTACACGGCTGACTTCAGGACCATCAGCAAGATCGGGAAAAAGCTGCAAATGAAAATCTGCGTTGGTAAGAGTGGGGGACTGGGGAGAGGGGTGATTTAGTCACAGAATTTGCAGGTTGGCAGCAGAACAACAAATTGCTCCTTCAAATGTATGTTACAAACAGCTCTTTCTTCTCACTGTATCGAGTTTGCAGACTTCTTAGAAGAATTGTGAGATATCCACATCTTGGGTCGTTACCTGAACACAGCCACCCCTACACCTCAGCCATCTTCTCTTCTCACAAACTGCCTCCTCCTTTTCTTTCCCTCTACCCTTCTCCCTTTCTCTGTCTTCCTCTTCAGTAGCAATGAATTCATGCTCGTTCCTGATCATAGCCAAAAGAGACATAAGAAAAGAAGAGAAGCTAAGAGTTAATTCATTCGGCTTAATATGAAGATCATCATAAAACTGAACATCTGAGCTGAAGCTCACTAACCACTGGCTGCTCCTACAGTCAAACAGGCACCACAAGGGTGACACGTTTCAAGTTAAAATAAGCATCTAGTATCTTCCACATGACTCACAGATGTCTAAATTTGGGCAACATGTTGCCCAGATTTGGATAGCCTAGTGCAGGGAAGGTTGAGAGGACTGGCTGGGACACAGGCATGCGAAGGCAAGGTGAAGAATAACAGAAAAGTGAAAAAACACTGACCTGTATATAAACTGAGTCTATAAATTACTAAAAAGAAAGAAGTACCACAGTTATTTTGGATTTTTATTTTGAAGGAATCATAAGTCTCCTGTGAAACGTTAGCCCTTTGTAATGCATCTGCTTGATCAGGCAGATCATAGTGAATTCCAAACAGTTGGGCTTCATTTAAGACACTGAATACCTTGCAACGCTTCTGAGATCTACACTGCCAGGCTCAGGAGGAACCTGGCACTCTTGCTGGGTCCAGGTGCTCAGGCTCCTTTGTCCTGCCAGGCAAATGTCTCCTTCCAGTTCCCAGCAAGACACATTGCACACAGCTCTGATGGGGTTCGTTTAGTTCCCATGAGAGCTCTGCCAAGCTCAGCTTTACTTCCCATGAGTGTAGACCTGTTCAAGTGCCCCATGGCCCCACGCAATACAGAGACCTCCACTGCTCCCATGGCAAGTGGAGATGCTCTTCAGCATCAATTGGATGAAATAATACCCACTGCCAAGTGCTGATCTTCTTTCTCCCTTTCTTTGCAATTTCCGTCATTGTTATTTGTGCCAAAACCAAAAGATGTCCATGTAAATATTAGTGGGTCAGCAGTACGTGACTCATCTGTTTTTCTCCCGGAGTGTATACTAGAAAGGAAAAGTACTTGGGAAGTCAGAGGCCTTGCGCCAGGAAAATCAGATTCAGTTCCTTGCACCCTTACATATGTCCTGGGTCATGCTGGGCAGGTGCCCCGTTCTCCAGATTCCTAAAGCTGAGACCTTCCTTTCCTCCTGGGGAAGTCTGAGAGGGACAACACCCTCAGGGTTCCATGTCTGCAGTGCCTGGTAGCCAGGCTTGCGTGACAGAGACTTTCTTTGCCACAGCTACTTTAAATCATAGGAGTCAATCCAAGAGCAGGTGATGGGAGCTATACAAAAACCCCCAACATATTGTATTTATATATTTTTCAAGAAGGTAAATACATCCAGACTTCAACATTTATAAAAAATGAAAACAGATTTTGGGAAAAGTACTTGTTTGGAAAAAAAAATCTATTTCGGTAAATATCTTAAACTTTGAGGTTGTTTTGGTTTTTTTTTTTTAAAAAAACGAAAGAAAAAGAAAATATTCGTATTTGTTTGATTTCCAGAGCCAGGATGTATTTATCAACAGATGGCTAGAAATCTTCTCTTAATATCCAGCTTTAGTTTACTCGTGACTGGTTTAATCCTGTTATGTTTTTGTGCAAGTGATGTCTTGTCCCTTAAAAAGTCCTTCCCCTATTTGTTCCTTCCATTTGTTAGGCATTTGAGCTGTCTTAGTGTGGTCTTGTAAACATCTTCTTTCTTTTCCCAGCCATCTCAGTACCCTGTTTTGCTCCTATTTCGGTTTATTTTTCTTGAAGAACATATGTAAATTATTTACATAGATTAGCAAACTGATTAATGCACATTGCTCCACATGCTCAAGAAGTGGAGTGCTGAAGCAAAGCTCAAACAATTCTTGACTCTCAGACAGCAAACAGTGCCTCCAATTTTTGTTTCCCAAAATAAGAGTATGGCCCACCACGGCGATATTATTGGGAAGAAAACTGGCAGACAGAGACTGTTTTGAGCACTGTGTTTATTCAGATTCTAATGTATGGGGTAAACAGCTCAGTGGGTACTCAGGAAACTTTGAAATCCAGGAAAGACTTTTCTGCACAGAGCCTGGCCTATAAAATGAGAAACTATGAGATTCTCCAGTCGTCTCAGGTTAAATACAGACGTGATTAGACAGATATAGTTAGGAGGAATGATATTTTGATTTCCTTCATATCTGGAAAAGATATGATAAAGAAAACATGAATTGCTTTGTTTCACTTGTCTCGGTAGGGTTTTTTGTGTTACTTAAATCATTTTCTTGATATTCTCATCCACAGAGGAAGATCCATGCGAATGTAAATCTATTGTGAAGTTCCAGACAAAAGTAGAAGACCTCATAAATTCATTGCAGCAGAAATATATCCTTTGGAAACTGTCTTTGCTCAGAACTCAGCGGGTTGGGTTATGCTTTCTGGAGGGGCCAGTGGGGAAAGTCTGTCATGGGGGAATGAGCTGGGGTGGGTGTTCAGGGATTCGGGAAACAAGAACCTGGGTTATGAAAGTGTATAACAGGAACAGTCCCTGCACCAGTGTGCATTGCTGCTGGTCTGACACAGAATAAGGAGATCAAAAAGAAAAGAGCTATAGTAGAATATATCAAACCATTGCACTGCAGCAATGAGCTGTAAGCACCCAGTCAGACCTAGGCCAGTTTTTAGCAAGAAGCTTAAATGAGCCAATGTGACAAGTGCGGAAGCACAGATCATGTATGGGATGGTGCTGCTCCCTTTGCGAGCTGCGGGAGCTGTGAAGCAGGACAGAATGTGAGGGCTGAGAGCAGCAGTGGCCAACACTGGACTGTGAGCAGACAAAACCACTGGTGCACACGTGCAACTGATGCACTCAAGTCATTAAAGCTCCATGGATGGGTTTTTTTTTATGTCATGGTAAATGTCTACAATGAAAACATCCGAGTTGGACACCTAAATTCATCCATAACATTGTAGGGGAAAAGGGTTTTCTACAGCAAAATACTTGGATACTTGGTGGTCTGGATAGAGTCAGGTGGACAGTCCAGTAGTCGGAGGGATAGGTCTAGTAATCAGAGGGATGGGTCCAATTTCTCCCAGCTGGCTAAACCTCAGCTGTGAGAGACCAACTTCCATGTAACTGCTCACTACAAGCATCTCCAGTGAGGTGAGTTGGATCTCACCTGAACTGAGTTAGCGGGATCACTTTCTGCCATGCTGGGTGCTGTCATATTGCACAAAGACCACAGATAAGTGGTTGAAACAGGAAAAAGTGAAAAAAAAAAGGTGTGAATAAAACTTAAACTTCACATGGGGAGAGAAATTAGTGAAACTTTGGGGTGGCTCACACAGGGCTGGGGATATTTTTCATTACTGAGCATAAGGAGAGAATATAATTGTAAAAGCAATGTTCTAATTTATTCCCACATTTCTGTACTCTGCTACATCAGTTGCACACTGTATTTTCTACTCTTTAACTCAAATTGAGTGAAATCCATGACTTACGTTATGCAAAAGGTCAGAGTAAATCAGTAGTTCTCACCCAGTGGGTTGCTGCTCCCAGACACATCATGAAAAGCAATTAGTGAGAAGAGCAGAAAATTGTGACACACTATATAATGCTATGAAAAGCACTCTGCTCTGCTCTTCACGCTACCCATCCTGCTCAAGGTCAGGAGTTCTCTGTCAACCACTCAAAACACACTCCAATCATTCTCACATTTTTTACTCTTCCTTTCATACTAAATATATAGGGGCATGTGAGTATGTGTGCGTGCATGAACATTTTCCACCTTCAATAGAAGTTCATCAACCGAAACAGCTGTGGAAAAGCTGGAGCAGATGTGACAGCGTTCCTCTGTTTTTTACCTGTTCTGCAAGCAATGAATCACAAATATGCACTCGTTTTTTCCCCTTAACTCTTCCTCACTGGAAGCTGTGGCAAAAAGGATTGAAGCTCTGGAGAACAAGATCATCTAAGATCCCAAAACAATGTTATTTACCCTCCTTCCTAATGTACCAAAACTAGAACTCCTTCATGTGTCATGGAAAGCAGCTCAGCCACAGTACTATGGGCAGCTTGTGTTTTTTTAAAGAGTCTAGTCTACTTGTATTTGTTTAAAAGGGAAGAAGTATAACAGTAGAGCAGACATAGAGTAACGGGCAGAGCACTGTGTGTGACTGAGCGCTAGACCATGCTAATGATCATTGCATCGTATAGAGTGCATATATTAAAAAACTGGAAAGATTTGTTTTTGACTTAAAGCTTAATATATATGTGTGTGTGTGTTAATAAGTACTTGATTACGAGTTCTGTGAATCCTCGCTGTGTTCCTCTGCATCTTTTGTGTCTATGCATGAGATAATTTAATTTAAAAGTCAAAGTGACTCAAAATCAACTCAGATGCTGAGCATAAAATGTCAAAGTCGCTGATCAGCTTCTTCCTGTAAGCACGATGCAATTGTCAGTAAGTAGGTGAAATATAGTCACGATCTCTGAGTGTGTATTGCAGACAACATAGGATAGGATGCTGCTGCTAGTTGGGTTTATCTATAGCTGCTGTGCAATAGAGAGAGAAACGAAGCTCAGCTTTCCCAGCCAGTGAATGTTCTCACAGCGTCTCAGTGAACACAGAGTCCAGCACCTGTGCTAGACCTGTTCTGGGTAAGTCCTGACAATGTGCAATGAGCTGGTGGCCGTGGCTCTGTATTACACAAGGTGGTCCTGTTCACACCAACCCCAGGAGATGTGCCCCTGCTCCCCAGCTCTCTGCTCTCCATAGTTTGTAGCTGAAGCTACAGAACGCCATCAGCATCTAAAACACAGGGAACTGCTGCTGGAGCTGCTGCCCATGGAAGCAGTGCCATCACCACTGCTGTGACCAGAGGATCGCCAGCTCGTCCCTTATCCCACCCCTCCAAGCACCTTCAGAGTCAATAAGTTCATCTCGGCACCTTTCAGACTCTTCTTCCATTCCTGCATTCCCAGCACTGGCACGACAAAAGCACGATGTGAGCTGGAAGCACCAAGTGCTGCCTGTCTCCTACAGCTGTGGTCTGGCTAGGAGTGAAGAGGCCGTGTTTATTCATGGCACAGTGGTGCACCATTGAATGTGAGCACAAGGGGTTGAGTTTGGAGGGGGTTTTTTTGTTTTCATTTTTTTTTGTATCAAAATATTTATATTTGAGACTATGTGAAAAGCTTTTCAGAATAACTTGGCCTGTTCAGAGATGTCATCATAGCAGATGTGTTTTGGGTTAATATTAAAAGTTTACTGAAAATTTTAAAGGCTAATTTTAAGTTATTTCTTTGTGTAAGCTTTGATGTAGTTGCCTGAAAATATCACCTCTCTATAGTCTTGTTAGTGGGTAGGAAAGCCTCAATCTCATGTCACAACCTTTTATTTCAATGGAAGAGAAGAAACAGGTCCATAGAGAAACTGAGACCCTTCTCTCAAAACAAATACCTTCTTTTACAACAAAAATCATTTAATAGACTCTTGGACTTGCAGGAATGGGTCTACACATTTCCAAGCATTCGCTGAAGGACAGCAGTCAGTTCTTGATAGCAAAACCTCATCCTCTCAGTCAAATCTTGTATACCCAGAACTCAGAGTAAACCCTACCAAATTCTGAAACTTCTAGGGATAAGATTTCTGTCATCTAGTTTTAGACATATAAAATCTAGACCTCTAAGCTTGACTTTCTCATTTGTTTCACAATAGAAAGAGACACCACAGGGCATCCTTATCAGGTTTATCTAATGTGCATCTCTTGGTGAGACAAAGCAGCACCTGAGCCTATTTCTCTTTATAGATTATACATTTATAGATTTCTCTTTATAGGTTATACCAACCCAAGTCATTCTATGATTGTAACAACTCCTTCAGACTTCTGTAACTCACTTCTGAACGTCTCACATGGGGCAACTGAGTCTCCTCTACTGTCATCCAAGGAATGTTTTTTCTGGTCATGTGGAAGCACTTTCCATCTCAAAGAGAATATATTTATGACAGGGAAAGAAAAACCTCTGCAGTAAGCAGAACAGAAACTTCTGCATGCTCTGGTTTGCAACTTCTCTTTTTACCAAGGACTATCAGCAGCTGAGCTCCTGACAGTGCAGAAACTCACCTTGCTGTTGAATAACATTGTGTAACAGCACAGTTACAGCCAATTTCAGTGAAAAGCATTTGCAAGCCAGGATCCTGAATTTGTACAGACAAAAGGTGCCATACAGACAAGCTATGGAAAAGACAGGTGAGGAAGGAAGTGAGTAGTAACTGAGGAGGTGGGTGTGAAAGTAAGGAGGAAGATACAGGGCTGTAATGGTTCATCTCCACGAGCCAGCAATAATGGATCCATAATGATTATGGATGAGAAGACCTGGAGATCCAGCAGGTGATCAAACAAGCCTCTGTATCAGTTCTTTTGACTATTGCTTAATGAGCTGTTGATCCTATTTTCTTTCCCTCTTTGAAACCAGGGTTCAAATATAGCCCAGAAAATATCAAAGATGATGGAAGTATTTAATGATCCTCACCATGGCTCCTACTGGCTTCACTGGGTTCAAAAATCCTTCCAGCACCATATGCCCAGGGATGAGTGAGAGGGGTTTTTTTACCATGATAAAGCCAGGAAAATAGATAACAGCAGTTTCTGACTAGAGGAAAATCCAGGAAGCAACCGGGTTTTGAGAAATACAGATGGAGCTGTGCAAACCACAGCTCAGGAGTTGGACACCTCACTGCTTCTCAGGCTGATCCCCATAGGTGAGGTGAGTATGAAGCCATGGGTATAGCTGGGAGCCTCATTTATTGGAGGAAATGAGATGAGACTCTAGCTATGTTGAAATTGCTGCCTTGTGACACAGGGTTTAAAAAAAATAGAACTTTTTGGCCAGTAAAGTTGCTCCTCCTGTCATGCCCATACAGTCTAGTACTCATCTGGTCCTCATGGAATAGGTGGTTTAATGTAAAACCCAGGTGCTGTGACAAATTTCTGAACTTCTTATGAATTACTCTGTTGTTCTCCTTTTCTGTTGTTTTCCTGTGTCTCTTCAATCTAACAGCTGATCAGAGACAATTCACTTCCATCTCATAAGACGACAGCATTATTTTTCTTTTTTTTTTCAGTTATAATCAGTTCACTAATCATGGAAATGAGCTTCTGTAGTTAATTTTCTTATGTGCCTATTTATTCTTTAAATGCCTTGAAAGTAAAATGTAATAGTCTCAGGAGCTAAAAGATGGATTTGATTTTAATTCCTGTCATGGCACACATTGAAATGTCTACATGATAAGATATTACTATTGTCATTCGGCAGTTAAAGCCCCTTGGCTGGCTTTTTCTGGTAATAGGATAAATTTCTGTAAAGTCAGAGCTGGGTCTTCATCTCCAGAGAAAACAGCATTCATTCAGCCTACCTTTCCCATTGCCAGCTTAATCCAACAGCTTCCATAAATCTTGGTGCTATTCATGTCTTCAGGGAGCAAAACCACCCCCAGCCCTTTCTAGGGAGGCTCATCCTGGCAGGACCATACCCGAGAGCTGGTGACCCAAAGTGGAACATGAAAGGGTGAGCTACCAAGCACTGCTCCTTCAAACCTCTGTGAGGCACCTTGAGGAAGGACCTGGGAGACACAGCGTCTTCCTAAACCACCAAGTTCCTTGTCTCAGAGCAACACTCCTGGATGCTGCAAGGAAATGCCCCTAGATGCAGACATAGCAGGTCTTGCTTTCAATTATTACGGAGAACATACCATTATATCTGTCTTTCCCTAGCTGTCTTTCCTCAAGTTTATCTGTCCATCCATCCATCCAATCAGTCACATTGTACCAATCTTCACATTTCTCTGTATTATGGTCCTTACTCATTGAACACCTTAATCCAAGCTTGGATTAAGGATCTGCATCAGCAGACCTACTTCACACTGTAAAATCCTCCTTAGCCAACACAGCACAGGAGTGGGCCGTAAATAGTGTGCAGTTGTAAACAGAAAAGAGTGCTTTCCCAGTGCTCTGCAATGGCAGGAGGGCCAAGATATATTATCAGGCATAGAATTGCTTCTGTAACTAATATTTTGTTTTGTGTTACAGATAAAGCAGAACCAAACTAATTAACAATTATTTTTCCTCCCTTCTTACTTCTCCTGGCTTAAAACAACAAAAGAGCTCTTGCATCTCCAAAGTCAATTAGTCACTGGGCTAGAACATAGGCTTTTGACATTGTAATTAGACTTCATTAATGGATCGCCAACGGCAGCAAGATGGAAACCTACTAGATGAGCCTCTCTCTGCATTTTCTTTCAGCTAATTACATGCTTATCTTGGAAACAAAAGATGCTGCACACAATGAAAAAAACCCACTTATGTCCCAAATTGTAGAGTGATGGGCTCATAGGGAAAGCCTTCTTGCTGGAGACTGAAAAGTGGTCCTTCTGCAAAAGGGAACTTCTTTTCCCTCTCTTTGCTGCTGCATCCTACATATGACCAATCCTTCTGTTCATGTTGCTGCCAAGTCCCAAGTCCCTTTAGATCTTTTGGTAAAATAATTTATAAAATGCTGTCTTCTGGGTATGGAAAATAATCCTTGACCAATTTTCCTTACATCCTTGTGGGTGCTGAGCATGCCCTTGAAAGACTGAAGCCTCCAGTGCTCCCGAAGGCAGGGGAAAGCTCTGTCTTCCAGCAGAGCTCTTTTGCCAACAAGATCCTCTGGGAAGCAATTTTCTCATGCAGGTCATTGATATTATAACACAGGGCCATTAGTAATCAAATAAAAAAGTGCTTTCAATTAAACTGAGGGCTTCAAGCTTGGTAACATCTTTCAATAGCAATTTGTAACACTAATACAGAGTAATTACTGCTAATGAATGGGTAGGAAGCAGACCAGTTATTATTATGATTTTTCTCCAAGCAACATCAGGCAGTGGAACCTGTCTCAGGCCATATGAATTTACTGTTCCTTGTGAAAAGCAGTGAGCTTCCTTTCTCTTAGTCCTCTGTGGTAATTCAGTGAACAGACAGTTTAAGGTGCTAGTAAATTTATGTTATGCAAATTATTATTTGTCATTTTACGTTCAACTTGGGGAAAGGCTTCAACAAGCTAGTGTGCACTACCCCATGTAATTCCTTTAGTGATGAACTTGCTAAGGATCAGAGCTCTGGCAATAAATTAGGAGTGTCTTTATACTTCAGATAGCAATTTGGATTTATTTATTTTTTAATCACTAATCATGTCAGGAGCTGTTTTG